TTCACAGCTATGAAGGCCCATTTACTAGCGCTTTACACCACTAACCACGGTGAAATGTTTCCGGTTTGAGCAATGGGCCAGTTGACAGGGGTGTGGTCTCCGAAGGCCGCATGGCCTTCGGCAATTGTCATTGGATTTTTCCACGTTTGCTATGTAGATATTCTATTCTTTAGATGTAAAAACTTAAAGTCTGTGATAGACAATTCGATTGGTGAAAGTCATATATCTTTAGACAATCCAAATCAAAGACAAAGAAATAACAATTTGGCAAGAAGACAAGAGCATGTTCAGGCCTGTCTCGCAACTCTCACTCAACACTGCCCTACCATTCAGGCGCTACTCTGGACGTCTGACTCTGTAATGGAGATATGCCCACTCCAGTCACTGTTATTACAGGGTCGTTTCGACCTGCCCACATGATGCAGTGACCTTTTCAAGGATCCAACCCGCTTCTTCATCGGGCGCCTGTCTATGTCGGACCGGTGAAAGTCTATGATCAGGACCCGGCGCAGCTCATCATTCCATAACATGTTGGCAGACCGCAGGTCTTTATGTACCACTCCCAGTATGCGGATTTCCTTCTTTGACTGGGAAATCTCACGACTTAGCACTTCCTTGTCTTTGACGTTCTCTATACTTTCCCCCGCCCAACCCATGAGAAGCATATGGCGGATGTCCCCAGCACCATGGAGGAAAAGGAACAATTTCAAATCAATAGTCCCTAGAAATACAGGGACAGCAGAGCCCTGTGCTTTCTGAAGAACCCGGTATATTTCTGCTTCACGTGAGACAACTTTCCATAACCCGACTGTTGTCCCCTTTCCAACAAGGGTGTAGCCGTATGCAGCACAAGTGATCTTGAAGGGTGCACCATATGATCCACAAGTCCCAAATGGAGTGCAGTTATGATCAAGGTCACGATCGAGTTGTTCATTCAGTATTTGTACAAGCTTCCTTGCATCGATACAGTGTTGATCATCATTCTGGCCTCGCCGGTGGAGAGAAACATTAGGGCATTGATGGTCCAATTTACCTCCTTGTTGCAAACCCAATAAGCATCGCTGCGTACAGTAACGTGCCGTGTGTTGGCTCTGGCCGCTCGATGGCCTAGGACCTACTGGGCGCGCCGATGAACGCTGGCTGGGCGGGGAGGACATCACTTGGCTGAAGCCCCGCTTCCGGCCGTGCGCTGCTTGGTTAGAGTCGGAGTCAGAAGAATCCATATGATCACTCAAAGGCGAGTTATCCATTGGTGCACAGGTGGTTTGAGATCGGGTAGAAACTCGATGGCCGGGCTGTAATGGAGACGATGGCAGATGTTCAGAGGGCATATATTCCGAACTTGCATATTCTGATCCTGGAGGAGTCTGTTGCAGCTCATCATCGGGGATTTGTGACCGTGTAAAGTCAAAACTTGTCTTCCATATATGGAGCTGGGATCTTGCAGCATTACACCACTTCTGGTCACGGATATCCGAGAGAAAGGACATCAGACAGAGACATAATATTCTGGCAATAGCTGTCTTTGACTGATAAAAGACCCCAGGATTTTCTGAAATCACATCCATGTTTGGTTCACAGAGATAGTAATAGAGTGTACTAGGGTCACTGTATGGAACACGAAGAAGAATGATAGCAAATCCATTAGTTATGTAGGAGTACTCCAGTCCAGCTTGGATCATGACATGATACTCTTGAACCAAAACTGAGCAAGTCAGCTGTTCTGCATTATATCTCAGCTTTTCATCCTTGTTCAGCTCATCACTCTTGGGGATTGTGTCTGACTGAACAATCTCTTCCCAGAGCTTCATCGATCGTAGACCCGCTCGGAGATTTTCAACTGAGAGCTTGTGTGGCGGCTTATACTCGACTGTCATAATCAAAGTATTGGTGGAATCGTTGATCCGATGAATACAGAATGAATCTGATTTGGGATTTTTTGTGCTGGATTCATCCAGCAGCTGTACATCTGACTCTTCTGATGTCTGTAGAAGATTTCCATGATTTTCAAACAGGATCCCATCTCCAAGCCGGAATCTCTCTCGGGCATCAGGTATTTTGCATAGCTCGGCTATGATATCATGGACATGATCTTCCACAGCGGTTCGCTCGTAGTGTTCCAGATCCTTTTCACTTCGTAGTTTTCGGCTAGAATACCGCCGACCAAGTTCATTTAGTACAAGGAGAGATGTGAATAGCCTAGGTGCATCTTTTTCAGCTGGTTGAAGGTAAGTGGAAACTGATTCATAAATTTCTTGCAGTTGAACCGGGCAACTTGACCAATGACGAAGGCTCGTTGGGCAGTATTTCCCAGTGGGTGGTGGAATACTCCCCTTCGTGGAGCGGGATGGCGTTCCAACCTGCAAAGGCCGGGAGAATGAATCATGACAACCTCTGATGAGCTCTTCGAGTGTTGTTGGCTGGCTGCGCACTTTTACCTCTGCCTCTCGCTCTTCTACCTGCATTCTCAACTCTTCTGCCTCCCTTCGCCACACTGCTTCCCGTGCCCCTCGCTCTTCTGCCTGCCTTCTCAATTCTTCTGCCTGCCTTCTCAATTCTTCTGCCTGCCTTCGCAACACCGCTTCTCGTGCCTCTCGTTCTTCTGCCTGTCTTCGCAACACCGCTTCCCGTGCCTCTCGCTCTTCTGCCTGCCTTCGTTCCGCTTCCGCTCTAAGGAAGAGAGCCTTGTAATCTGGTGAACTGTCATCGGCCATTAGAGAGGGATAAAAGAGTTATATCAAAAAAAATTAAAATTGGGTACCAGGAATTTAGTGGCTAGAAGCGATAATCCTGAGGTGGTCGGAACAGGAGACGAGATATAGTGCCAGTCGTGTCGCCCAAAATAACACGGATCAACGTTTACCCGCGCCAAACGTCATAGTGATACAGCATCAATGTTTTCGTCTTATCTATTCCGTTTTGCACAACCCCGGAGGCAGCCCGCTTTGCCGACTTATACTTGTAGTCAAAAAGTAATGGTTGGTATATGTTTGGATGGGGTCGGATGCGATATTGCTTTAACACGAACTTCCTCCCAGCCACTACAGTGTTGGAGATCACCCTGATGGCTTCTAGGATATATAAGAGTAGACTTATAATGTAAATGATGGGAGGATTCTCTACAATTTCTATGAATCATGACCAAAGAGATATGGAAGCGCATCGCATATTCCAGTTCTCTGCATCTGTGACAGCGACTATCTGCAGTGGAGGCGGCCACGCAGTGTGGTTGGGTTCGATGGTACTTGGGAATACTGGGCGACTAGCTTCATTGAATCAGGAGGTCATCCTATGCCAGATAGGAGTAGGACTTTTAGTATTTGTTGGATCAATTGTGTCGCTTGTCCTCGCTGTCCATGAGCCCATCTACAGGAAGGGTGAGTAGCAGAGCCTCAACTGCTTTTGTCATGTCTAAACGCCTAAGTCTACAGACACTTCGAGACCAATTCTTAAATTGATAGTTGGTTTCACACTTGTGCTGCAAACTGCAAACGAGGTATAATCACTGTGGTTCACCACTCTTTGGCAAGGCTAACTTTTCCAAGTACCTAAGTGTTAGCACACTCCGTTCTCGATTGATTGGTTACTTTGCAATAAGTGTCGCTTTTTGGAAGGTCCTCGTGGTGCTCCTGTAAGACTTTGGCTCTTGATAGGTGACTGGGCCTAACATGTGCCTAACACAGATTTTTTGTCAACGGCATTTCTCCAAGGAACCGCGATATCCTCTATTCATTGAGTATGGTTGTCACCTCTAGCGAACTCTTTTTCCTCTGTTCTCAGTATATCCGGCTCTGGGTGTCTTGCGTGCGCTCTTCGAACGAAACCTGCAATTCAGAACTTACTCGCACTCACCGTGTTTTGATGGTGGCGTCTGTAACGGCAGCAATACTCTCTGTAGCCTCAACAACACTCACCATCGCAGCGTACGTTAGGCAGGATTTTTCGATCCAGTTTTCAACAGTAAGATATTCTGTAACTACCATTCTCATTAATGTAACTAACGACAAGTAGCTTCAAGTCGCAACATTAGGCATAATGCGGATGGTCATCTCACTCTATAAGTTGAATGGCGGCGTTTCCAGGCAAGGATTGGCTCTGAATTCTGCTTGATTGGTGGCCGACCAGGAACAAATAACTAGTGGTTGGTATAATGTTTCGCCGTTGCATTCAGCTTGATAAGATTCTTAACAACAAGATTTGTATGGACCCACATAGTGTATCCTGTTTGAAAAACTGTATGATCTTTGGTAGTTAGTACATGTTTAAACAAAGATTTTAATATCATTGAACTTTCAAATCTGATCTCAATATCTTCTACTTCTGCTGACATTGCATTGTCAGAATCCTCTTTGAGAATAGTTTTGGGCCTGTCGCCCATATATGATTCGCTATGCATTGCTGCCTAAGAGTCATCTGAAAACGAAGCCTGATGAGGAAGAAGCCATGTGATTATTATTTCTCTTCAATCACGCGTTGCGTCAGGCTATGTATTTTGCATAGGCACCCCCACCTTTCCCCGCGACGTCACAAACCTTTTCTTTTTCTCTGCGCCTTTGCCTCTTTTCTGCTCGCAAAAATACGGCACAACGAAAGATTTATGAAATCCAATATTTCATTTCATTGAAAGTGTTGCACTCTACTTACTCCTCAAAAGATTTTGTAACCATGGCGGTAAGTAGATAATTTGATGTATTCTGTTTCCAACTAAATATCTGTTTCCAACTCTAGCTAAATATATTGTTTTCACAGAGAGGTGACATTGCGCTCGCGGGGCAAGAAGAAAAAAACATCCCAAGCCACTTTTTCGATCCGACCGACACCCATAGGAAAATATATTTCATGGGATATTATATCTCTATCCTCAACAAGGAAACCGGGGACAATCCAACCCACCATGATGCAAAGCAACCCGGCCAGGAAGTTATAACAGAGTATCAACCATTCAATGTTCCGCCCGGGTATACTGTATACATCAGAGTTGCCAGTGTATACTTTGAGGTCTAGAATGACATTGTAACTTCCATTCCATAGATGCTGTTGAGATGGTATCCATCCTCACTAGCACACGAGATCGTGAAGGAGATATCCTGAGTGTCATCTTTTGGGAACAGCGTAGCTAAACACCCTGTCTTCTCTAGACCTTGGCGCCTTTCCTGTATCCAAAGTTTGCTATTCTGGACTGCTGTTTTAAAGGGCTCGGGTAGTGCAGCGATACTACTCGCTGGTGCGTTCGTGTATATGTACCCCTCTCGATTGTCGGTCATTGAGGTTTGATGTGTGTGGTCGCGAACTTGTGGTTGGTTCCCGTCGCTAAACGGTCTACCACGTTCGGTGTGCGAGCCGTTCCCGTTACGATCGCATGTTTGATATGTCGAATAAACTGGTGCAACAAACCCCATATCTCGCAGGCTTGGAAGTTGATCTACATCAAAGTCAGCGTTGCTGACAGGAAAGGGTGGTTGTCACTGACTTATTCTGGAATTACATGGCCTGTAGTCGACCCCTATTGTGTATCATTAGTATTAGGTAGCATCGGATAAAAATGTCGCCGCCCACCTTGTTGGGTTGCTACCATATCATTACTACCAAGTGAGTTTGCGTGCGTGGCGACAGGACCTAACTCCATCAATATCTGATGTAAAACGGGAAAGGTCCATCTAACCTTGAAATTGCTGCTCCCTGTTTGATGCTACTGGAGATGCTGAGCTTTCGACCCCGTGCCCTCTTTTTCCGAAAGGGTTGAGGGTTTCTCTCTGGTTGGCGAGCGCAGATTCCGACAAGCTTGAAACTAATTCTCGAAACATATCACACGAATTCAAAGGCTCCTCTTTTTCTAGAGATTGCAGCGTTTGGAGTATATCAGGAGATAGTAAAGGTATCCGCTCGGTGTACGTATCGTCAATTACGAAATCGAACGTGCCGTCTGGCATGCCTCCAGACGTCTTCCAACTCGACGGCGGAAGGGCCATTGCCCACATAAGAATAACGTGAGGATGCTGGGACCGAAGCACCCCACATCTTGTACGAGTGTGTCTCTTTCTTGTTTTGACTTGCTCAGAATCCAAATCAGAGTCCTTGGGACCGATGTAGATAAGCTCAAGGTTCCTCCTGAGATTCATCAAGATAGGTGAGGTTATTGATTGATAGTTTTTTGTATCTCGAATTTGATTTGCGATGGCGATGTCTTCGTTCCCACAGTGATTTAGCTTTGCAATCGCTGCATTCAGAGCTGCCCAGGATGAATCCATTCTCCCGCGTAGTTTCCGAAACTCATTCCGCTGGTCCCTTGTTGGTCGAATCTTCCTACCTGTAAGCTTCAACAACATCGACTCCGTCCGGGCTGCAAGCGCCTCGAATTGTGATAAAACTAAACTAGCAGACATGGTGAACTTAGGTCTGAATCTATTGCAATGAAGAAGGGACTGGCTAAAACTGGATCAGATAATCTATGAACCATAGATCAACAAGTACAAATAGTTTACAGAGTTCTTTAAGGGGGGTGTGCTCTATATACATCTCTGCTTGTCTTTATTTGTAGCCTGCATGCTTATCCGAACCAGGGTAGCACAAACCTGGGCTCACACAAATTGATTATCACATGGGCGGAGTCACACTATGACATGTCCTCGTAAGATAAGGACTTATTTCAATGTCTAGGCTAAGAACGGTATAGTATTGGATTGAATGCAGAGCTCAACGAGTGGCTGAGACACGGATGGGCATTGAACCAACCCAGGGCTTGTATTTGCAAGTGTTGTCACCTGCATGATCTTCATCCGCAGGTGAATCTAGTATAGCAAAACTATGGTGCCTCACAAAGACTTGTTCAAGTGTGCATCACCAGAAAGGAGTCACACCGTAGCATGCCCCGAAAATCGATGCTATAGACTCAAGTGTACACATAACTAAGCACCGGGATAGCATGATGTTTTTGTGAGGCGCCATAATTTTGCTATATTAGATTCATCACCGCTGAATCCCTGCAAGTGAGGCGGTGAGATGAGGTATTGGCCTATTCGCCTGCGTCCTCTTGTTGGGTGCCCTGGTGCTAAATGCAGCATACGGAACAGCAGATTTGGTTTGCCGGGTCAACTTGTACTGATGGATGAAAGGTGGTAGGTAGTACAAGTTTCACATGGTAGGGAAGAGACTAATAGCGTTTCCGGCACTGAGCTCGCAAGGCTTTTCATTGTGTTTTGATAATTTTTCAACCTAGATCAACCTCTCTTCCCGTGCTTTGACAATTCAATGAAGAAGCATGGTGAAATGTACCTAGCATAGCCTGCGTTGGTATAGACGGCATATCCGGCGTCTAGAAATACGAGGACACCGATCGACTCGACTTTGTACGGGTTCCAACCGCATATAAGGGCGCAAGATTCCTTCCGAATCCTAAGGCGATGAACGTCTTACGAAAATTCGAGCTCTGCAAATACCAATTCCTCATCCCAATTGACAAACACTTACTTGTGTATATATCACTCCAAACGTATCGCGCATAATACCATCTCTTAAGGAAACCACCAAATACTCCAGAATGAACGCATTTAACAGTGGTGGTTCTTCGCCAATCCACACTGCCCCTACTCAAATCTCTATTATGGATGTCTTCTTCACCGGCATCACTGCATCTATGCAACAGCTCCTGACTGGCAACCTGAACAGCTATGCTCACCTGATGTGCATGTGCGGGATGTTCCTCTTTCTGGGTAGATATGCATACCGCTACCTGACAGAATTGGTGGAGGCCTATTTCAGTTCGTGACTCTCCCCGTAGTGATAGTTCTTTCTAACCATTGAAAGCTTCGACCGTCCACGTCTCCTACTACAATGAAGCGTACGATATGCTTATCGCCTGGGTATCCACCCAGCCCTTCGCCCATAAGGCTCGGTCCTTTCTCGTCAGCATCGACGGCATGCAAAGAAGAGCATATGCTGATGATCTCTCAAAAGAGTACAAGAAGAAACCATTGCGTTTTTCACCTTGGAATGGATCATTCTTCTTCGTGTACAAGAACCATCTGCTCCGGTTCCAGTGCGTGGCAAAAGAGACCAAGGAAGAGATCTCCATTTCCTGCATCGGCGGATCTTCGCAAATCCTGAGAGCACTTCTTAGCGATTGCCGAGCCGAGTATCTAAAACTTATTCAGAGAAAGACTACAGTCTTTGAGCATCATGTTGGTGAATGGAGGAAGGCGAAGGCAAGAGACATCAGACCAATTTCAACAGTCATCATGGATGAGGACGAGAAAATGGCCGTGTTGAAAGATATCGAGGATTTCCTGGACGATCGGGCTCGGGGCTGGTATGCAAGGCGTGGGATACCCTATCGAAGAGGGTTCCTGCTGTATGGGCCTCCTGGAACCGGGAAGTCCAGTTTCAGCTTATCTGTCGCCGGGCGTTTTGAGCTAGATATCTATGTACTCAATCTTTCAAGCATCGACGACAACCGCCTGAGCAGCTTGTTTGCCCAGCTTCCCCCGCATTGTGTCATTCTCTTAGAAGATATCGATGCTGCTAGTACAGCAAGAACGGAAGACAGTGAAACGACGGAAAACACTGACCAGGCCGCGGTAGGCCCTTCACAGAAGAGCAAGTCTCAGGGAAATGTATCTCTGTCCGCGCTTCTTAATGCCCTGGATGGCGTGTCTTCGCAGGAAGGTCGATTGCTGATTATGACAACAAATCACATTGAGCGTTTGGATGACGCACTCATCCGCCCTGGCCGCGTGGATCGAAAAGTTTTGTTTCAGCTCGCTGATAAGAAAATGAGTTCTTGTCTTTTCTGTACAGTTTTCAAGCGGTCAGATGGGGATCAGCGCACTACAGGAAAGGAGTTCAATGATGAAACAATTGAGCGACTTGCAGGTGAGTTTGCCGCCAAAGTTCCGGACCAGGTATTCAGCCCAGCTGAGATCCTGCTATCGTTCCTGCTTGAACGCAGGCAGTCGCCTACCGACGCAGTGGCTGATGTGGAGGATTGGGTTGCTAAAGCCGGCAAGGAAAGGGGAAAGGTGAATAATTATGCCAGGGAACGCGCAATTCTCAACCCCACAGACTCTTTTGAGGATATTGTAGAGTGCACCCAGGCGCAAAATGCCTGATTCACACGGAAGTGTGGCCGACCCAACGCGTTCTTACGCCTCAGTTTTATGCTTTTGTAATGGAATGTTTAATGTGAATGGTTAATGTGGGAGGCCCTCTGGCGTTTATTTTGACGAGATGTTATTTCGGAGTTTACCTTCTCGGCAGGTGGACTGGGACGTATCCTACACATCTTCCCCGGCTCTTTTGTTTGTTGAGGTCATCTGTCAGACAGTTCACTTTCTTTCTTTCTTTCTTTCTTTCCTTCTTTCCTTACTTCTCTCCTTCTTCATGTTTCTCTGTCAGTAATTGTATCTGGTGGCAACGCTGCTTGTTTTAACACTGAATCTCGATGAGTCGCGTTCTATCCGGCGCAAGATCCGCCTCGTTTGATTTTTCTGTCATAGTTCAATAATTAATGGAAGTTAGGCAAAGTTTTAGCTCATCAGCTAACGAATCCCGTAGACGTTGCGGTCTTTCACAGTCGCTCCCCGTCTGTCTCGAAGGAGGACCATTAACGTAGGCCCAGGAGCTTGAAGGCATAAAAAGCCAGTTCTCCTCCCAGCTTCCCAGCTTTGCTTCTATCGCTCCATCCTCCCTTTCTCCTCACCAAGGTTCTTCCCAGCTTCGTAAATCACCTGACATTACACTTCCATCTCGCACGTGATCTTATGCCGCGAAAATACAAGTGGGGTGATGAGTGGTGGTTACTGATAAGGCCCAGAACTATGGTGCATCAGCCAATCATTGGCGACAGTTAGCCGCCCCAGACTGCCCTGAAAGGAAGTCGTCGACAAAATGTTGAGTAACACCCATTTTCCACACCCACCCTCGGCCTGTAGATATCAATATTTGTATCTCTCAAGGCATCAATTTAATTTACATAAGCCTGCAACTTTCCGATAGTTATTTGTTGTTCTCAAGGCATTTCCCCCAAACTATAGGCATTTGCAATGAAATTCTTCCCTGGGGCATTGTTTTTCCATGCTCAAACGGCCATAAATTTAAGTATTCCCAGAGTTGTTTCCGTACGGCATTCTTCTTCTGCTGAATGTGTTCGGTTGGCCATGATTTTGATGTAGCTCCTTGAGGCATATAATTTCCCACCACGCTTTAAATCTACAATGTCATGATTCTGAAGACTACTTGGGGCCCAATACTGGTTCCAAGTTGTGTGGACTGCCCTCGGGATTTCTTTTCTCTCAGGGAAAATAAAATTGAAAAGTGAGCCAATTAAAGTTCTTTAGAAATATCTTATGCCCCATGGCAAAGGCTAGGAACATTGGGCCCCAAGTACTCCCCAAAACCGTGACATTGTACATTTTTAGTGTGGCCCCCCTTAAGGTTGAAGAGTGTTCTAGGAATAAGAACTCCCTCAGGTTTAAAAAGTATTCTGAGAAGTAAAAATGCCTTGGTGTATAAAATGTCCTCCAAATATCATGACATTTGGAGAAAAAGTGTGGTCTTCCTCAAGTTTAAAAGTCATTTCAGAAACCAAAAGTGCCTTGAAATTATAAAACATTTCAAGGAATAATAACATTGGAGAAAAGGCGTGGTATTCCTCAGGAATCATAAATGCCTTGAAATTATAAAACATCTCAAGAAATCATGACATATGAAGAAGAGGTGTGGTCTTCCTCAAGAAATAATGATATTTAAAGAAAATATATGATCTGCCTCAAGAAATAATGGAATTTGGAGAAAAGGTGTGGTCTTCCTCAGGAATCATAATGCCTTGAAATTATAAAACATCTCAAAGAATCATGGCGTCTGAAGAAAATGTGTGGCCGTCCTTAAGTTTAGAGCATGGGGTTTGAAAGTTCAAGGGAATCACGAAAATCTGACCCAGAGAAGTGGATTTTTAATCCCCCCTGAGAAGCTAGTTACGGCAAGCCGTGGTTGATAAACTAACTAAAATGCCTAGAGAGGAGAACCCCTCAGAAGATACAAAAATTGATGGTCATTGCTCACCAGGAAAGAGAATGCCCCTAGGAAAATGGTTGGGGTAAATGTTACAAGAAAATGCCCTGAGAACAATACATAGATACTAGGTGTGGGTTTCCCTCGAGTGCTGCCCTGAGAGATACATATAAAACCAGGCATTTTATACAAAAGTTCGTGGTCTGGGACCCCGCCCAGCGCGGCGGTCTACCAGCATTTAACAGCCCTACATCCTGGCAACCTCACGATCTGATTCTAGCATATGCAAAACAAAAATCAGAGAAAAAAGAAAGAAAAAGTGTATATAAAAAAGTATTGCTTACAATGATGTCTTCTTTTATAAGTCTTCTTTATCTTGTCTTTTTTTATACTCTGAAAGCGAAGAATTTTGCACGATGTCTGCTTCAATCATATACTATTGATAGTCAAATGCACATAGCGCCTTGAACCCGCCGTCTCGATTTAGTCAATATAAGAGCCAGATGTGCCGGGTGGCTGACAAAGAAGTTTGTCTTGGTGCTATTTTCAGCTTTCAGAATGACATCATCAGCGGAATGAACCAATCATATTTGTAACTTCTACAAATTTGATAAAGAAATTTTCTTTTCTTTATCAAGCACAGCAGTTCACTGAATGTCAACAATTGCATTTCCTCCCTCTTAGTATTTGGATTCATGCACTGATATCTCCTCTTGTTATTGTAACATGATGATAATATTTTGCAGGGGGAAGGAGAAGAACTTTACAACCTCGATTGCCACAATGTAATGTCTTGGAGAAGTTTATATATCTGACATACTGACCCTTCAGATGGTCTTGAAAAGCAAATTTAGTACTGTGGCAGGATTTTCATGCTTTGAAATATCGTTCCATGTCACCCAGACATTCAGGGCATTCCATGCCAGTAGGAGTGCGAATTGGGAAGTCAGTATAGACACTTTAAGTGGGGTCCTCTGGTTTAGGAATTCACACCAGATGCCTGGGTACGGCCACATGATTCAGAGCAAGGCGAAACTCAAAAGATTGTATGCAATCTTCCACCAATTTTCAACAGGGACAGCACTGACATCTCAGTTCTTGAACTTGAGAGCGACCAAGGCTTCTCTCTTGGGCAAAACAGAAGAATTGTCGGGTTCGAATGCGGTAGTCCTTCCATGATAGTTAGTCTCAATGATATTTTGTTGCCATTTCATGCATGATTGTGACACTCTTTAGGATTGGCCTTCATCAGCATCCTTCCAAATTCCCTAACTTTCATAGGGGAGCTACGCTTCACTGACTCCGCGGGAGTGGGGGGAACCATATTAGAGCATTCCCAGCAGCTGGGGCAGATTTTACTGATGAGAGACATGAAGTAACAGATGGACTCGGCTTGCTAGCCGCTGCTCAGTATCACCTAATTTAATAAATGAGGAGGCAGATAGACAAATGGCTGTGTATTATAATATCAAATCAAGAAATACTAAATGATAAAACAAGTGTTGAGAGATCGGTTTGATTGACATGGCTGACAAGTGAATACCCCATCTTCCATTAATTGCGTGTTGATGGTCGAGGACGTAATGTGCTCAGGCGTTTCTTTTGTTGCATCTTCTTATTCCTTCTTCTTTGTTTCTCCTCCTGCTTCCGCAGCTGGAGCCTCGCATTTTCAGGGAGCCAATTGTCTGGGAGATACGTTTCCACCACATAAAGCACACGGAGAACATATTTATCTTTTTGCCATATTTTTTCAACATGACAGATCTTAAGACTCGTTTCAACCTGCTGCGCCTCATACCAATAGCGACGATTCTCCAATTCATCATCAGCCAAAGGTTGTGTAGTAGCCCCAGAATCTGAGATATTGTCTCTGTCGTCGGGTTCGTTGTCGTCAAAAAGTTGAGGTCGGTTATTTGAGGTTCTGTCAACAGACAGCCGCTTGGGCGGGACGTTAAGGGGGGCTGCAGTCTTAGATGAGAAATAGAAATATAACGCCGCGTTTCGAGAGCAAACAGACATGGAAAGAGGGAGAAGTGAACATATTGTTAAACCCTTACCGTGAGGTTTGGAACGGCCTTTCTGGAGAAAGTCACCCAACATCTCGCAATAAGCTGGGAGGGTGGATTGTTGCGCACCAGACGACAAATGTCGACTGGGTAGTGGTGGAGGGTCCTCAGCTCCTTGTCTATCCATGTTGAGCATGTGCAGAAATTCAGAGTAGAGGGAGAATATTGGAGCAAGACAAGCAAATATTTGAAGCAGGGAGAAGATTTGAAGAAGGGCGAAAACTGTATTCAAAAGCGAGGGGAAGTGTTTTTTATAGTCATTTATACCTTAACCCCATCTTCGAGTGGCTGGCAGCACTATCTGACAGCAATTCCTTCCACATGGTGCATACCTACCGGAGGAGCTCAAGGGTGGCTGATCTGTTACCCATCTGGCTGCGCCCTCTTGCAAAAAGAGCACAGGGGTGGGTGAAGTAAGGGATGCTTCTACACTGGTTCCGGTGCATATGACTGGTTGTGGGTGCAGCTCCATCTTTCCATTAGATGCCAACCCCTCGTCCCTCGCCTTATCGACTGAAGGAAAGGATACGGTAGTTTGTCGGTTTAACTTCCCGGGGCATCAGGAGAGTCGGGGGGGGGAACACTTGACTGTAGCGCTAAATTCAGTATGGGACTGTCCCTTCCAGCAGGTTGAGATTGACTGGATGGGAGCTCAAGGCAAGAAGCGCTGACATGCAGCTGTGCCTCGAATCGGACCTTGCTTCATGTTGGGTGGTTTTGTTCAGGGTGATTGGAAACGAGATGTCCATGCACTTGATATGGCGTGGAAGCACTTCTGCGTTGGTCTTCCCCATCAATGCATCATCCCCCAGTTCGGCGCCTGCTTTGGTGTGCATGATTGGCGAACCACACAAGGCAACTTAGCAACCATTTCATCTATTCTTCTCGATCAGCCTCGATCTATTTCCGTTCGCAGGGGGCAGTTGAATGTGGGACATATAAAGGCATCAAGTGCCGCCTGGATCGAGGAGAGAAGGGCATTTCATCATCTCATCTTACAACATGGGTACCTCCACGTACGATATCACCTCCCCCGGACCTGCCGATGGCTCTCTCTCAACTCAGCTGGACACGGCGCACCTTTTGGAAGTGTACACTCCTGATCCTTGGTCAAACGAAGAGCCTCTGCACCTCCTTCCAATACCCATGCCCATGCCCATGCCCCTCTTCTCTGCGCCCGTCCATCTCTCCAAGGATGCAGCAAGTGAGACGTTTGCCAACTTTTCTGCACTGCCATCCACCGTCTCTGGTCTCGATGACATTAACTGGGACGAATGGATCCTGTTCAACCCCTCCCCAGTCGATGTTCCCCCACCGTCACTCCAGCTGTCGGATTTCTCCGACGACCCCATCGAGGAGGCTCACCCAAGCCCAAGCGACGTTGCCGATGACCCACCCAGTCGACAAGAGCCAACCCCTCCCCTGGCCTTTGACTATCGCGAAGGCAACACATCGAAAGGGCCATTGAATGACTCAAATAGTCCCATCAAGGCTGACCCACACCCAGGCGAGGAACGCCACATCCAAGCTCACCGATCGGAGGAAGTTACCCCCCCGGCGTCGGATCATTGGGAAGGCGATGCGTGGCGGGAGACGCTGGATAAGCAGGAATACATTATCTTGCTCCTTTCCCAGGTGACTATACAGGCGCTGGTGTCTAAGCGAAACGGGCACGAAGTGTACAAGATAGTAGGACGGATGGATTTACAACAAGCACGGGGATATGGCACCCAAGAAAAGCAGTGGAACTCGGGTTCTGCTGGTAAGGCTCAGCACCCACTCCGTGGAAAAAAAACATTTCTCACCCCTCACTCACTCTTGCAGAAGCTCCTATCATAATCGATGAGCCAATGACTCCCAGCAACCTGTCTTGCAGCTCTGATAGGTTTGTCGCCATTCCATCCCTTCAACGAAATATAAGGAGAGTTTCCTGGGGCTACGAAGTGTATGCCAAGATGACATTGGATGATATGCAGGAGTATGGAGGGCTGGAGCTGCTGGAAGCTTACTGGAACAACGATTGTTGTTGAACGTGGTCACGTGAATTATATCAGCAGGGTTGCGAAACCATTTCCATTTGTGGGATGGTTGATCTTCTCATTGTGCGATCGCTAGCTAACTATATATAGGGGTAATCACGTGCGGTAGAGCGCCTGGGCAACTAGTGCCCAACACCCTTTTCCTCCCTACTATTGATTTTGTCAGGTAAACAGCGCATGCCAGGAGTTCCCTTCTAGATTAGTACCAAGCATCTTCTGTATGCTAATTCAATTCAACAATCTGATTAGGCTCAGCTCCAGATCTTGAACCTTAGTACTCTGTAGTCACTTGCATATATGTGGATTTTTAGGCTGTGTTGTATAAACATTTAAATTTCTTGTTCCTCTGTTGCTATATGTTTGATGTCTTCATCTCAACTACCTTAACCACAACAAAACCGTCAACATTTCAAATAAAAATAGATTAAAAATTTGCTGCATGCCACACTGTGTGTATATTATTCTATTAAAAGGAATTACAGATCTAAAAAGAGTCTTAGTCTACACCCTGTATACAAGTACAATACCAGCAAGAGAAACGACACGAGATGTTGATATCAACATATACTGTGGGGTCGTGTACTGACGCCGTGAACTACCGCGGCATGTTTCCGCAGGTCCATCTCACAGAGGAGTGCGAGGTCGCAGGGGGTGCACCGACGATCATTGAGATGCGCTGTCCGGAAGTGCCGGATGACCCCTACATGTTGAACGTACTTTTTCCCACACTGAAAGCATGCCAGCGGATCCGGCGCAGACCCACTGCGAAGGTTCTCAACCGCCCGACACTTCTCAACCGCCCGACACTTCTTCTCCCCAGAGGGAGGAGCCGGGTAACCCTCCTGCCTGATCTTCTTCTGGAGTGGGATATTCTCGCTGTGAGGATCCGTTGGCGGGATCGCCCGTTTCGGCCGCCCTCGCAGGGGACCGCCCTCAAGGAAGCCACAGTACTGTCTCACGGCCTCAACTGCCTCATTCCGTCGTCGCCACTCGTCTTCCAGGGAGTCCGAGGTGGGCCAGGTCAGAAGTTTCTCCAGGAGGTGGATCTGTGCCGGTGGCATCTCAAACTCCGTCCGCAGCACCTCCCGAGCACCCTCGTCGTCAACCGCCGACCCAGACCCCGACAGCTGGCGTTCAATATCGACCACCGCCTGGTTCCGGCTGAACTCACGGCGCAGCTTGTGTATTAACTTGTCCTGCAGCCTCCGTCGGGTGTTGCTGACCTCCCGCTGTCGCTCTTGCAGCAATGGCACCAGTGCAGCATCCCGCGTGCGCGTGTAGAGGTCGATCAGGTCCTCCCGAATACGGATGGCCGCCTGCAGCTCAGGGTCCTCTTCCACGGAGGCCCTCTCGGCATCGGTCAGGTGCCGGGGCCGGCGCCTGTCGATCCATCGGCTCATTCGAGTCAACGCTCGTGAGAACACCTCGTCCGGTTCGAGACCACACATGATCTCTTGCAGGCCGGTGTGGCGTCGCGTACGGTAGTAGGCGACGAAGGTGCGGTTGGTAGCGTGGTTCATGATCATATTCTTCTGCGAATCACTGACAAATCCTGGTCATCGGCTCCCACGTCAGCACCTTCTCCTCTTCCCTGGGTATACATTCTGAGGGGACAAGAAGGCCGCTACTCACCACTCTCATCAAGCAGCTTGCCCCCGCCGTAGCGGAACTGATGGGAGAAGAACGTGTTGAGAAATCCGTGGATCTCACTCACGCTCTTCAACTGGGAATCTAGCGTGCTCGCACTCATAGGCGTATCGCGTAGGATGCGAACCTGCCCATCCTGGACATCAACCTTGCAGAAGATGTACCAGTTATCCATTTCCCGCTTCAGCGGCAATGGCATCTCCTGGCAGCCATCCGCGGGGACCAGCTTTCGGACGTCCTCCATGGTCCGGGGGCTAGAGTTCTCGAACGCCTCAGCGTGGAACAGGAAACCAAAAAGGAAGACGTGCGGGCTGAAGAGAAGCGAGACGTCGAAGATAATCTCCGGCAATACAAATGTGTTGCTGTGCCCACCGTTAGCATTGAAATGGTCCAACTGGAGATGACACGCTCGTGCAGAGCGGTGCTTGATCACATACAGTTTCCCCATCCCAAGATTTCGCTTGATAAATTCCGGCCTGAAGTCGACCGTCGGCACCGGCGGTCCCCCGTGCGGATCCCTCTGCACGGACAGGAGCAGATCCTTGTATCGGAGGTTCAGGATAGCACTCTCCCGGTTCACTGTGAACAGACCCAGCATGTTATAGAAGCACAGCAGGAGCCGTTGCAGTCCCAGGTGGAATCGCTTCTCCCGTGTCCGGAGGATTGTCTGGTTGAAGGGAACCATATCTTCGATGTAGACGGGGATGTTCTCGCGCGGCTGATTGTCGAGACCGTGCTTGTCGGCCAGAGACCGCATGCCCTATCAGCGGAGACGTCAGTACCACATGAAGACGCAGGAGGGTGTCGCGCGAACGCACTCGCCGAACATCTTCGTTCATCTTCTCACTGATTCCGTTTCCCGTCACTTTCCTGTAGTAGCCTTGAAAATACTTCCAGTCGCTCTTGAGGGAGCTTGTCTTCTTGGTGCCTTTGAGTTTGCGGCCCCCCTTCCCACGTTCCAGCTTCCCAAGGACCCAGTTCCAGAACCGGTGCAGGTCCTTCGCGGACGCCCGCTGGAGGGCCTCCTCCGCATCAAACCATTGCGGATCGACAGCTGGCTCGGATGCCTTCGCTGTGCAATATCTTCCCGGTGTGAGTGCCGAACACAATACGCAGTCCTCAACAATGCATGGAGCACTCACCGCTGCCAACGATCTCTCGCCCGTAACTTGAGTTTTTTAGTCTGCTTGGAACCGCCATAGTCGGACGGAACGTCCGACAGATCCTCATCCGTGTCATCCAGAGGGTCCTCGTAGAGGCTCTGACGGAGAGGGGTAACGTTCGACCCCTTCGTGCCGTGCATTGGTGCGGGTGTTGGTCCGGAATCACAGTGTTGTGGTCTCTCGTGTTCGTTGCCGGCGCGAGCGCGGGGGAACTCGTGTTTCGGTCAGTCAAACTCGGTCTCGTGCTCACAGTCAGGTTCGCTACGCGCATCCGCGGCAAACGACTCCTCAGCAGTATGGAGCGGCAGGGGCCACGATGGTAGGAGTGAGGAGGGGATAGAGAGAGAGAGAGAGACGCCGTCCGTGGAGCGGAGGGCGACTGAGCACAGAAGGGGTGTAGAGGAGTGTATATTATCCTCTCATGTCTGGAGGACGGGAGAGTGGACCGAGCTGGAGAGGGACGGCGGACATTATGTAGAGCCATGGTGGCTGGCGGGTGGGCTGGGTGATGAGTGAAGGCTGTGAGCAATCAAGCTGGAGCTGTTTCTGGTGGCCTTGTTGCAGAAAGTCGTGGCGCGCCCGCGAAAGGGGGAGTGGTGATCACGTGGTAGTGTGATCAGTGCGTGGAGGTTGGGCCGTGGGGCCGTGGGCGGAGCGCGCTGCATCGGAGCCACGGGAAACGGTAGTAAGGGCCACGGAACAGAGCTGCCCCAATGCAAATCGAAATTCTTAGGAAGTGAAAATTGAAATTGAAAAGATGAAGCTGAATATTGAAAGAGCAAAGTTCAAATTTGAAAAGAAGAAAGTTGCTGTTGAGAAGGAGAAAGCTGCTGCTGAGAAAAAGAAAATCACTATTGAGAAGATCAAATTGAAAATTGAAAGAAGTAGATTTATAATACAACATGAGATTTTGATGGCAGTAAATTGTTATATTGAAGCTCAAAAACAAGCAATGATGAATCTCACAAATGTCATGAATAATGTCAATCAAAATGTGTTGAATATTGCTGTCAGAATGTATAAAATATTGAAACAAGTTAGGAAATTCATTAATCATTGATAAAAGTGTGATGAAAAATTTAATAACAATGACAATTCTTTTTCTGCTTTCATTATTGATGTTTTTATTGCTGTTGTTGATCTTTCTCCTTTCTTTTTCTCTGATATTTCAACTCTGATTGATCTCCTAATTATGAGCAGTTTTGAAATTCTCAACATTCTCAGTGAAAATGTAAATTAAAATCAGCAAAATTATTTTTAAATTTATACAGAAATTGATAATGATATAAATGAATAAACACATTGCTTTCAATTTCTTTAAAACTCTCTCTTTCAAACAATGAATAATCATTGACACTGACTCTTCAAAAACTTCAATGCCAATTCACAAGTTCACAGAAATGAATGTTAATGTTGATATGAATATGATAGAAAATGATGACAATGAAAGAGAAATGATTTAAAGAATTTGAAAGGAATTAAATAAAGATGTAGCAGATTTCTAATAAAGAATGATACTGATGAATGAGATGTTTTTTAAAATTAGTGATTACATAGATAGAAATGTGACATTTCCAATACAATGATGCTTTTTTCCTGTTCATAACTTGTTTACAATGATTCCACAACTTATCCATCATTATATGAAGATTTACAGTTCGGTGACAGTGTCGTCGGTTGGCACGGCGGATCAACCATAATCCGGTCGTATAATAAGCCAACGTTTTTCCGGTAAGGAATTCTCCGGCTTTCCCCTTTCTTTGCTGGCTTTAGCAACCCAGCTGTCCGCATCAGCCACTGCGTCGGTAGGCCACTGCTTGCGTTCAAGCAGGAACGATAATAGTATCTCCGCCGGGCTAAACAAGTGGTCCGGTATCTTGGCGGCAAACTCACGCGCAAGTCGATTAATTTTTTCATCATCGGTCTTCGTTTCTGCATCAGTCTCTTTTCTGGGTTGCTGTCATCCTCATCCGACCGCTTGAAAACGGTGCAGAAAAGACGGGAACTCATCTTCTCATCAGCGAGCTGAAACAAAACCTTTCTTTCCACGCGGCCAGGGCGGATGAGCGCGTCATCCAGACGCTCGATGTGATTTGTCGTCATAATCAGCAATCGACCTTCCTGCGAAGATACGCCGTCCAGGGCATTAAGAAGAGCGGACAGAGACACATTTCCCTGGGACTTCATCTGTGGGGAGCCTACCAGCTACGCCCTCCGCTTGTCCATCATTTGCGAGAAAACAGGTGGTTCCGCGACACACGATGGCACGCTGATAGGAAAGCATTTCGCCCCGCTGCACCTTCCTTCCCTCTGAGTTCCCAGGGCCCTTGACAGTTATTGATTTGTTGCCACTTCATCCCTAGCAATAAAGGTGTCCAGTCCCAGCTCCTCGTCGCTCATCATGGTGTAGGCCACAAGCACCTGAAAGATTGCATGCAACTACATGCCTGTAGGCTTCCACGATTCATCCGGTTGTGGGCCCTCTTTGTGAGATTATTACTGGTTCTTGATTTTTGCGCTAGGGGCACCCAACTGGATGCCCACCGTTTTCACATAACTTTTACGCATAGTAAGGCTTTGGGCCCGGGCAGTTCAGGTGGTGGGGGATCGATCATTATCATTCGTCTTGCTTTCTGTGCATCGACAGGCATCCTCCTAAATCCAGGCATTTATGCAGCGATGCAGGGAGGTGAGGCTGAAAGCCGTCCCAACGCATCAGGTACGTGTGAATGGTTGCTTTTAAAGGTGCTTGGCGGCAGCTCGAGGCAATACTCACTATTGAGAAATGCACATAAATAGCCCCAAAAAACCATCTTCAATTGTATCCATTCTCTCGTATGGAAACTCATATCCATTCAGGCTCTCACACACGGTATATCTCTAGATGCACATGCATATTGTTGTAACTACTCACGCGTCAATAAAGGCCGCATAAAACTCGGCGAAAATGTGCATGAAAGAGACGCCAAATACATACACTTGGAGCTGTGGACACACCGCGCCCGAAGGAAACACCATTCTCCACTGGTGTGATCCCGCAACCGAGAGAGGTTCACCATGTCCAAATCCAGAACCAACTACCAAGGCTTCAAGCCGTGGTTACGCAAAACGAAACGTCTGCCCTAATTGTCGCAACAAAAAGCCTCCTGCTGGACCAAAGGATGGTGACGGAACAGGAGCTGGAGGCTCGAGCTCCGCATCCGTTGCTCAACCCCAAGGCGTTACTGTGGGTGCCTAGTTCGTAGGTCTATCTTGAGTGTTAGGTTTTATTTATTAATGACACTAATTCTAGAATTAGGCTCGTGGCAATTCAACTGAGAGGAGTGAGAAGTTGAGCTGGGCAGGCACCTAAAATCAGAAGGATAATAGTTCAGGAAGTGTATTGGGGATCTGTTATGGTGTCTTGCGGGATATAGCCTTGTAGCATAGAAACTTTCTGGCAACATTTATGAATTCGAATGATAGTAGAAGACGTTTTGTTCGGTGATTGTGGACATGGGCAAAGCTAAAATGAATTCTTGAGGTAAGAGCTGGGCCCACTGAGAAGATAATAGTATAACATCGGAAGCACCTTATTTCTACATGATGTAAACAACCTGCAGCCAGCAAATCCTCAACAACTGTTGGGCAACATTGATTCGTCCTCCCCTCTCACCACTTCATGCCAGAAAAAGCATTGCAGTCTTCATACAGCGATTTTATAGTGCCATAGCTATCTATCCAGCATTTGTTGATGATATCATCGTAAAGTAGGCCGCTTGTTGCAGGGAGATTCTCTGGCTCGGGCCAGCAATCATGTTCAAAATAATCATAGTAGAAGACCCGCCATGCTGCAATAGAATAAATAATACACCCAAGACCAAGTATATCAACTCGTGACAATGGATCTTTCACGCAGACCTCTTCCATATCAGCATCCAATGCATGCATTGTGGCGTTGGCAAAATCAACAACCTTCAAAGTGCCATTCTCAACAAGTATATTATTGGGCTTGACATCTTGATGGAGAACCTTTTGAGAGTAGATATACCAGAAAGTCTCCACTAGCAATTGAATCCAGGTGGCGCGAATTGTTTCTGATGGCTTGTCATGGCTTTGAATATAGCATTCCAGATCTCCTTCCTTTGCATATGCCAACCTTATCGCACCGGTTACTTCGTCGTGGACGCCCAAGTATGAAATAATCCCTTTATGACTCCCCAGGCGCTCGTAGACCAGTCGTTCGTTAATGATCATATCGCGGTACATCTGATTGTATGGATCATTATTCGGAATGACCTTCGGGTGTTTCACAATGGTATCTTCGTTGATTTCACAGATGATTCCGGAAAACCCAATCGATATACATTTCGGTGGCTGCTTCACGTGCAAGATTATCTCACTGCCAGACTGTTCGACGGTTGGGCAGGACAGCAGCGACATAGTTTGACTCTTCGGGTGATTTGGCATTCTATATAATCAAGTCAGTAGGCGGCAGTTGTAACATTATTAGCTCACTGGCATGCTGGAATTGTGCTTTTGTACGTCCAAGTTCAGCATCGTCGTTGAGAGTTGGTGTTGCTGTCGCGCCGCGGAATTGGGGTAGATAAATGCTCCTAATGAATTTAGAGATAAAACCCCAGAGCGACGACCATATGTGCCAGCGGAAAGGACTACTAAGAGACAGCATAGATGATTCTTCCAGTACCCATTGGACGGTCTCTGCTATGGTCAAAGGCCAAGGGAAGGAAGGAGGATGGTAGTGAGAACCAACAGAAATTCATAAATCTACGAAAGTTTAATCTAACCACAAGCACTGTTAGTGGTTTATCTCAGTAAACTCAGCCACTCCACTCCGAGCTAACCCAATCCGAACTACTGCTACTTTCTGCCAAGTCCTGCTAACATCTGAGCCAATCAACTGTCACAGGGCTTACACTAAACCTAAATGGGACATCCCCAGCAAACTCTTCGCGGAGCGTCTGAGAAAAAACGGTTCCTGTTTGTTAGCAACACGGGAACGATTTGCTCCAACCATAATGTTTGAGATAGAATCACTGTGCAACATCACTCATAGATCATTTCTCTACCACCTTGGAGGGTTAATTTTTCAATTTCCTGTCGATTGATGTAATTTTTATCTGAAAATACATATATTCTGAGTATGAAGTGTCGCGTCGAAAACTGCTACTATGATTTTGAACACGGGAACGATTTGCTAATTTTTCAACCATGATCATGTCTAGTCATCCAACGCCTTGATCTTGCCATCAAAACATCTATCCAGCCATCAGAGACTCTAGTCAAAGCACCGAGTGTATTTTCCAGCGACTTCCGGCAACTTCTGGCAACTTCTGACAACTTCTGAACTCTTGGCAACCTCACGCGGCACATCAACTTCTGACAACATCTCTGAACTCCTGACAACTTCTGGGATCTTCCGACAACTTCTGAACCAATCACATAACACTTCTTTTTGACAGCTGGGTCGGACAACGTCCCATCAACTGCATCAAATATGGCCAAGGGGGATCGAAGAAAACGCGCAAGTCAGCTACAACAGCGGCTTCAAAAGCCATCATTAAAGCAAATACTTTCAATGAACATTGAAGATATGCCACAACTTGTCATGAGCTATGCCGGACCAGATAGTATCGACAAGCAACAGGATGTTATTCAGTATTGTCTTCAACGAATACTTCAAGGCCCGCGTCCAGATCCTGAGTGTACTCTTCAGCCACGCATAGAACAAGTCCGTATACTTCGGCGCATGATATATGGATATAGCGACACTTTATTCATTGCCAGAACTGGCTATGGAAAGAGCCTTATTCTTCAATCCTATACAATTCTGACAGGAAAGATAACCATTCAACTGGTTCCTCTAAACAAGCTTGGTGATCAGCAAACAAGAGATATAGCACGGGTTTCCCGGTGCCAATCCTTGTCTGGTCAGTGCTGATAATCTCCAGGGGCAAGAAGACTTACTCAAACGCATTCAACAAGGTGAGTATACACATATACTGCTCAGTCCAGAGCAAGCTCTTTGCAAGCGATTTCAGCATGTTCTTCAAGACCCTACTTTACAAGAAAAGATTGGGCTTGTAGCTATCGATGAGTGTCATCTTGTCACACAGTGGAGTCAATTCCGTAGTCAGTTTGCCAGGCTGGGGCACCTGAGATTGCTTCTTCGTGAGGATATTGTCTGGTTTGGCTGTTCCGCAACCCTCAGCAGTAAAGCTGAAGATATCATTCTTCAAGAGGCTGGATTTCGTTCTATTGGTGTAAACCCACGGCAGACTCAGGTTATTCGAACTTCCATTAACCGTCCTGATATCTTTATCGGCGTACATCCGATTCCACGCGGTAAACTTGTATCCTATGATATGTTATATTTTTTATTGAACGAGGCCATTGATACAGATGGAAAGATCATACCTCAACACATTTTAAAGACCATTGTCTTTATTGACAGTCATGTCAAGGTTCAACAAGCAGTGCAATATTTCCGATCAATACTTCTTCAGATCTGTCAGAATAACAGGCAGAATGTCAACAATACTGACACCTCTTTCATCAATGACACCATTCAGCATTTCACATCTCGAGTGTCTGAAGTGGATCAGAATATTCGCTTCGAGGAGTTCATGAAACCTAAGTCAATGGTATCCAGATCAGAATCGTGATTTGAATTTTTGCAAAGAAGGGAGTATTGATAACGCATTTCAGCTCCTGTTTAAGCAAGACAGTATAACGTTGATTATCATTGAATACCCCTGCTTTGGAAAGTGCTGAATATAGTGCATTTCGCCGCTTCGTACGAGTACTGTATCGTCGATGAGTCAAGATATCGGGACTCTGAATCCAAGCCTCTATAAAGGGCTCATTCCCCAACTGTTTCGCTGTAATGTTCTGACACGCGAGATATTTTGACGTCTTTCTGCGGTTATAAGGCATTGTAGGCAGGTGCTGTGGGCCACGGCGGTTTGATCGTGAACAAGCTCGCGGGGTATCGGTATCAGTATCGGTGATCTCGAATTCCGAAGGAGTATCAATAGATTCAAGCTCTGTTAAGTCACTGTCTGATGTGTCATATTCATCATCTACATTGTTGGGAGACTGTAGTGGTTGTAGAGAGGATTCATCTTCGAGTGATGAAGGATATTGGCTGGAGCGCGTCTGACATTGGGTGTCTTGAGATTCAAAAGACACGCTGTCTTTTGTCAACGATTGTGACATGATGAGAAGGGGTAGTGAGTTGTAAAATAGCAGAGATGATAGCAGAATGGCTGAGGATTTGAAAAATATCGGTTTGGTGATGATCAGGCAGATATTTAGGGTAGATGTATGATTTCGAAGTCAATCGAATATTTTGTATGGGCGGTGTTGATTTTCCACACACGATGGAACCGTTTCTTCTCAGACTCTCTACGAGATATTAGGTTGCGAGCACGTGTGAAGTCTCTTATTGGTCCAGAAGTTAGCAGGACTTGGCAGAAGTCTAAAGGAGTTTAGTTGGTCGCGCTAATCCGAAAATATCGAGAAGAGAGGCTGAGCATGCTGAGATAAACCCATGCTCGTGAACCAAGCAGCGCCACGTGACGTGCCGCTTTGTGGGAGGATAACGTTGTTGTCATTACTAAAACTAACTACGCGAGAGCAACACAATATGTTGGGGGGCACGTGATAGGGTAGCCGTAGTACCCCCTAACACGCTTTTTTAATCCCGTTTTGTTCATGGCAATTTGAGTCGTGTTGGGCTAGCCTCTGCATCGCTGGCAGTTTTCCAGCTTGCCTAATCGGAGATCCCCAATGCAGTCGATGTGACGCACCGTCTCTGCTCTGGCAAGCATTCCGCGCCAACAGAGCTGAACACTTCTAGATCAAGGAAGTTCAAAACTGATTCTCCCATGTCCCTTGAAAATCCTTCTCTTCACGCAGTTATTTCCCGCATCCAATCCGGCTCGAGATTCATGAACGCCTTCTTTCATTCCTGAATGACTGCATCCATGGTCTGCGGGGAATCCCAGAATTCATTCTATGTTCATGAATATCCTGTGATATCAAGGAGACATTACTGGCTCCAAATCCTGAGGCAACGAACAGACATTCCATAGCTGCTCAGGCTCGTCTTGGCAAACTTACATAATGTCATATTAGCTTACAGATAATCGCCAACGAGGCTTTTTGAGACCTGCTGTCTCGGGCCCAGTTGACCCTAGTTGGATGGCACTTAGCTAGTTCAGCCACCAACATATGACCCTTGTCATGACGAGGTCCAAAACCCAGCGCTTATCAGCGTGCCTAAGGTTGAAAAGGTCGACGAAATGTAAGCTTCCGCCATTAATCTGTCATCTTCTGTTCCATGTCTACTCTTCTTTTACAGTATTTAGCAAGGGCGAGTCGGGACTTGTTTTCATATTTTGTAGGATATTGGTAAGAATCCCATTACCAAACTGCCAAACATTGAATCGCGGCCATTGCGCTTGAATCGAACACCTATCTCATCGCTGAGCTGCAGTGCCTCAGTCGGCATCTGCATGCTTATATTCAGCATCCGGTCATGAATATGTAAACATGTCAGACACTCCTCTCCGATTACTGTTCACTCATACCTCCATTTGCGCGTGTCCTTCTAGGATTTTGACAAGTCATGTAGATTTTGAGGATCTCAAACCTAGTTGGCATATCTAGCTTTTTATCTCCTCTGTCGTGTAGCATAGAGATGACTAGCTTTTGAGCAGATGCTAGACTTTCCCTACGAAACATAGTTATGGCAATTAAGTGCCAGTTTTCTGGTGATGAAGGTCGGTGACTATCGGAGAAAGAGGCTCAGCATGGCAAAGTGACAACCGTGTTGCAAATCCCAGTACTCGAAATGGACGTTTGAAATTGGTGCGGCGGATCGCAAGTTGTTGAGGAAGTTTGGTGAGGTCATCGGTTTTAACCCCACCTGCTTACTTCATGCATCTATCGGAAAAATTTTGCTCCGTGGCCTTGCCCACCTTGCTACCCAAGATCATGTGGGCTCTGTTGCGGCAATATTCCAAAAGCCTTTTCCCCTCTAACAGTATTTTACTTCTTACGGAAGGAAAAGTTTTCGTTAACATGGGTATTTGTGAATTTTTACTCCCCTAATGATGCCGTGATTGCATATGCTGACTGTCTTTTGACAGAACCACCCGAAATTTTTATACCTAATAGTCAGCCGTACGCATCTAAAACACTGTTTTCCTTTGCGAATCGACCCCCTTTCGCACCTTATCCTTTGCGTCGAAACTCTGAAGCTCGGGCAACTTCTCAGCCTGTCACCTCTGCGGCGCTAAATATCTCGGTGCAAGTACCTTCAATATGCTGCGCACGATTAGGGCATCAAAGTCATCAACAGATGGAGAACTTGCAGAGATATGCAAAAAAGAGGTATGCACTTCTTCACTATTCCGGTGTGAATGTATCCTAATATGCCAGAGTAGTTAGGTGACAGCGAATGCCAAATCGAGCCTGGCCCTCAAACTGAAACCATATATCAAACCTCCCCGCCTCCAAACACTCTTGCCGTCGTCGTTGATATCTCCAATACGGGTGGCGCTCTTAAAGTTCACCAAAAATCAGACAACAGTTGGGGAAATATTTTTATCGGCATGGTAGGATCCGGTGATGATGAGGAGAACATTAGAAATTTGGTGATTGTACCTTGGGACGCTGGATGGCATTACCGGACCATTGGCAATATAAAAATAAAATATATCATAAAGAAGTGAATGAGATAAGGTTGGGTTTATGCCACCTGGTGGCGCTGTGTGCTGAAATAGTTACACATCTCCTGTGAAATATTTATCGCTATGAATGGCAACGACTGATTATCATACGTTTCCGTCAACCACACTTTACTTCCCGCTTGACCTGACATGAGAATGGCCTGAACGTCATGAAGTGTGAGTTCGAAGACCCGTCCTGAAAACAAGCCTGACATAAGTACAGGTCAGTTTCCAAGTTCTTGTACAACCTCAAAGAATTGCATACCAGTTTGATACCCTGGGAGTTGCTGCTCGGGTCTCTCCGGGAGCGTACCGTCAGCGTCTGACGGTGGCAGGGCTGGGCGATGCGATTGGGAAGGCTGAGAAAGTCCAGTTTGCTGAGGTACACAGGTTTCGATATATGAAGAGGGGTTCACATTCGACGAGACTAGCATAGTTAGAACCTAGGTATCACCATGGTAGACATAACCTACGATATTCTGTAGCAATTTTGTCGATGGTTGGGTCTGTCAAGGCGTTTGCGCGTTTCTTGATTTCCTCGGGTAGGTTGAGACGAGCAACCTCTCTCATTGAGGCGATTGCTGACTGCCCAAGGCCGACGGCGCAAATTACCACAAACTGGGGACCGCGATCATGGTCGTTAACTTGTTTCAAGAATCGCCGGTAATTATCCCGCCTCTCGCTTGTCTTGGTACTGTTGGATGGCAGTCGGTGGTCGGCAAGCAAGGCAAATGCTTCGCGAACACGTTTGGCTTCGTGGGGCTTTACGCTTTCCCGCAGTTTTATTGTTTTGGCCGAGTTTAAAACTTTGGCCACTGCATCATCAATTGACAATGTGTGTTTTCCAGGTGTTGATGACATGTTAGAACTATTTGGAAGTTGGTTGGAAATACTTGGGAAAAGTTATGGCTTTTGTATGGAAGACAGCCACCCGCAGTCGGATGTTGCATACTTGCTTGGCACGTCTCATTCTGGACTAGCTTGGCCAATCAGTATTTCCTAGGATGGTTGTTATGATAGATGCGGTTCGGTAAATGCCGACCATTCGCCAACGACACTTTTGCCTGGGAAGAGCAACAACTCTAGGCAGCATTGCTAATTTTAGTTCGCATCACGGCCCAACTAGCGCTCCCACCGGCCTTGCTGTGCTAAAAAGTAGAATATACCTATTCAGGGCTCAGGCCGCTACCACCCAACATGTTTTGCTGCTTGGCTTCCAGCGACCAACGATTGGCCCTCAGCAGCAATCATTTCCCAGAGAAGCGCCTGAAATGCATTCACCACGCTTCCCCATTTCCTATCCCACAATGGCTCGTCATCAAATGATTCCCGGAACCGATAAAACTGAGTGCCAAACACCGAAACTCGCCCGCAAACGCCAGGCTCCCGAAAGCAGAGGTAATATCCAGATATTCTTTACCGTATTCCAGGCTGATTTATTAAAGGGAAACAAGCTAAGCGAGTCAAGAGAGAGCAACAAGAACAACAACCGAAATCCTACCGGAGGAGCGCGCGCCTAAGCAGAAAAGCCGCCCCTGTATCTGTATGCGCACTTCTTCGATATGACTGAGTGATATGATACTGATTTAACGGAGCAGGACTCTCCCACCCACACCCACACCCACACCCAAACCCACGCCCGAGAACAGAATACGAAGCCAAATCACAAACGATCCTGTGAAGATCAAGCCCCCCCCGTTCCAAAACGACTACGATTGTCTATCCATAGCTCAGCTAACAACTGGAAGAAAGCTGACCTGATTGGGTATTGGTGCAAGGCCATTCGCTGGCCCGAAGAATATTTTGAAGCCCAGCCTGGACAGACTGAAGATATGAGCCACCTTCTCGCGAGAAAAAAAATCATCGGCTTCCCTTCGACGCAAAAACTCGACGTCGAGTCTTGCTACAGGCTCCAACACACCCACTGATCAAGAGTCAAGGGACGAAAAGAATGCCAAGTACAGAAGCGCTACTTATGAAACTCTCCTCGCTACTAAAGGCAGCTTCATGCGCAAGTCAGAGCTAGGAATAACCGATAAGAGCAAGCGGATTTGTAAGGATTTAGTGGAAACCGATCAACCTGTTCCCAAACACACGCTATTTCGAGACGATGCCTTTGACGAGTTTTGTCAAAGGCTACAAGGAAAGAATGAGTCAAGAGTTATCCAAGATATATCCCGATTAATTATACCTTCGGCAGAATCTCTCGCCGTTGACGGGGCCAAGAATCTTAAACACCTAGTTGAAAGCGTCAATGAACAGTGGAGCTCCTCCATTGCCTTCTGTGGACCGCGTCCGCAGCCGGATTATGCGGCCGGGTTCGGCCGTTCTGCGTTCACGGAAGACCAGCTGAAGAAATTCGAGCCGTTCCTCGGCTACGACCCGGATACCTACAGCTCGTTCTTCCTGGCCACCTTCTACATGTACTTCCCCTTCTTGACCAGTGAGGTGAAAGGCACCGCCGCGCTCGACATCGCCGACCGGCAGAACGCACACAGCATGACCCTTGCCGTGAGGGGCGTCATTGAGCTGTTTAAACTTGTAGGACGCGAAGATGAGGTCAATCGCGAGATCTTGGCTTTCTCGATCTCACACGACAACAGGACAGTGAGAATCTACGGCCATTATGCGGTCATTGAGGGAAGCAAGACTTCCTTCTACCGTCACCCTATCAGAACATTTGACTTTACGGAACTGGACGGCAGAGAGAAGTGGACTGCTTACACTTTTACGAGGAACGTTTATGACAAGTGGGCGCCGGATCATCTGAAAAGGATCCGCTCGGCTATTGATGCGATCCCTCCTGGAGTAAATTTTGATGTTCCTCAGTCAGAACTTGGACTCTCTCAATCAAACACCCCATGCTTTTTGGAGGATGACGGCCAACTAAGCCAGACAAGCTTTGTAGCCTCAGCAGAAGCTACACCCAATACTTCCTTCACCCAACAGACGCATGTCTTGAAGCGGCCAAGGAGGCAGAAATAGTGTTTTGATGTGTGTTTAAGCTAAGAATGAATTATTATCATTTGGATTGCATGTGCTATGTCAACTTGACCCAGAATATCTCCAGAATATCTTTATACGCCTTTCCGTAAGCACATTACCCATAAATATCATCACGTATTGCGTAGTCGTCTGGATCCCCCGCCATGGATTCGCCATGAAATCGTGTGATCGTTTTGTGTTTTAGTACCGTAAAAGGCGCGTCTAGGAGCCCATAAAGCACTTCAGAGAGCCGGAACAGCTTGATGATCTGACCCAGGAACTGTAACTCCAGGAACTCTCCCCGAGAATGTACGCTCAGATCATCAGTCTTCGCAAGAGTGATTTCATAGCACAAATGAGCATTGTCTCGCGCGAGGTAGTTTTCTGATTTTAAGCCCCTCCAGCCTTCACTATTTCTGCGTATGTTAAAGAGGGTCTAATGGCCCAGCTTGCAACAGTAAGAACATCTCTATCATTTCCTTCAAGTTGCAACATTAGGCATCATGAGGATGGTTGTCTCAGCCTGCAAGTGCGGTGTTTTCGTGGGTTTGGAATTTTATGTGCCAGTTTACGGCTGCTGGCAATTTGTGAACCAAAGCCTTCATCGGAATGTAATTTATTGTTGACAGACTGAAATTCCTCACAGCAGCACAACAAAAGGTTCGTAAAAATGATAATCCGAAAGCGATTGACCCCTGGAAAGGAAAATTCAATAATCCGACATGACACTCCCGGCCCTTCGTTCTCAGAACCCTCAACAGTTCCTCAACATTACACGGCATTGTGCCATAACAGATGCCTCATGGCTACAAACCTCTTTCGCCACGCAACTTTTGATGTCCACGCACTCTGCCAACTAGCAAGCTCATTACGCGGGGGCAGATCCTGCGCTTGTGATGTTACGCAGGTGCCGGCCGATGGGAGCTTGTACTGGGCGGCGTTCTTGGTATTCGATGATGGAGTGGAATGGGTATTTCGATCGCCGCGGCGTGATGGTGCTATTCAATCTGAGAAGACCATTCAAGCTTTGCTAGCGAGCGAGGCTGCGACGCTGAAATATATCAAGTCTTATTCCGCTATCCCGGTTCCGGTGGTTTATGCGTACAGGTAATAATTGGATATGAACGTGTACTTAGTAGGTTGCTAAATCTCTGAGCAGTTATTCTTCGGAAAACGATATAGGAATTCCGTACATCTTGATGAGCAAGGCTGCTGGATTTCCTCTCAGCAAGAGGTGGAAGTCCCTCGGATCTCGGGAATCGACTTTATCACTTAAAGAGAAATCGAAGATAGTATCCCAGCTCGGGGTTATAACATGGCAGCTCTCACATCTACGGTTTCGAGAGATCGGCTCGCTCTTTGAGGAGAGTGGGTATCTACAAGTGCGTGACTGTTTGTCCCGGGCGTTGGTGGATTCTGAACGAGATACTTTACCAGAACTGCCTCGAGGGCCATTCACTTCTGAAGGGGAATACTTTGATGCTCTAGTGACGGGTCTTTTGCAGCATGTCGAGTGTCTTCAGCTTAGTCACCACTGCTTCTTCGCACCGTGCCCTACTCGCAATAGATATGACGACGACCAGGAATACCGCAGAGCCTGTGATCAGTGGAGTAACTTTGTCACCCTTGGGTCCAAAATCGATGGCTCCAACAACCGGGTCGACTATACAGTAGTGAGAGATTGCCTACGTGAATCACGTCAAAGTGGGCGGAAGAAATGTCAGCGCCGGCCCAGAATATCGGTTCCGAGAGGTTTCCTTTGCACCACCCTGATCTAAATGTGAACAATATCTTTGTGGATGACAACTGCAGCATTACGTGCATCATCGATTGGGCATTCTGCTCGTCAGTCCCTTTCCCCATCCTTCTCATGGCGCCTAGCCTCCCCCAATCTCGGGACCGACTAGAGGCGCCTTTAATTACTGCATTTGAAGGTGGACTGAGGAGGGCCATTCTTACCGATCACAGGGGAGGCCTGATGAAGGACTTTCTCCACAAGCTGGAAACGCTACAGGCTAGCAGATTCGCTTGGTTGTTATGTCGATTAGCGAGTTTTGATTCTGCAGGAGACTTCTATCTGTTCCGTGATATCTGGCGAATGAGCGACCAAAATGACGTGGATTTCTTGACATTTTTCCGGTCCAAACAATCAACCGACCATTACATACAACTGCACGAGGAAATGAAACAAGAAGATGAGCCATCAGACCTAGTTAGGCAACGGGAAACAAGCTATTTTCAAAGAGACATGGTCGGCCTAACAGTATCAAGAAAATTGACGCTAGTTTCTGAATGGACGTGTCGATACCGAAAGCATGACCCCAAAGGAATACGACGGAACGGAAATAACTTTGTTGCTGATGACAAGTTGTGGAAATGGGTCTTGGAGTCACTGAACCAGGCCGGTCTTGTGTGATGTCGAGCTATTGCCTTTCTCGAATATACTCGGCATTGATGTTCTCGGCCTGCCCGGTTGCATCATCTTTTACCTGGCAGTTCCACTTGTCGGTAATTCGATAATGTGAATTTTTTTTATAGGACTAACATACAACATGAAGTTGGGTGCTGGATGTCTCATTGTCAATTGTACCGGTACGCCACTCGCTCTCTGGTTGCCAGATCAGCTCAGTAGATAGATAGATAGAGACAACAAAGCATACCACCCCTGCGACAGAAGTATACTTTATTTCCAGCTGGATAGTACGCCTTTTTCCGTGAATCTGCGGGAGGTGTTGGGAGTTCGGGAGGAGTTGGTGGTAGTGGCCTCCTTTTTGGCATTTTTAATGTACACTTTGAGCGAGAGTACGAGTTGCTCTTAGGAGAGTGTGCTCAAAATAGCCTAACCAAGTAATTATGTATGGTGAACCGCCTCAGCAGAGCATTAGAAGCCAATATGCATTTTTCCTCTTGATATCAGGAGTTTCTCTCCCATAAAATTTTGGAGGGGCATTGGGCGGTAAATCTTTTCTGCCATTGTTTCTGGGTATCACGTGGCACTCCCAAACCCTTCTTTTAACCCCTCCAGTTGCGCATGAAAGTCCAAAATGAGCGATTTTTGCCCCACTTTGCGACTCCGAGGCTAATGGGATTAGGGATTGCTTACCCTCAGCATCATGTTTGCTGCCCATTCATCACAGAAAATTAGCATATATCATTGATTTCGCCATGCGGCGCAATGTGCCTTACCCCGCTATACCCCAAAAAGAAGTTCGGCGTGACCTTGCAACCCCTAGAACAAGGTTAGTGAGCGGGTTAGTCAACCCGGCGTGCAGTTCGCTGCTATCATAGAACAAAGTAACGTCCTGCGTACACCAATACGTGGATATTTTGGTTATTTCTGCGGTGTTTTGCTACTATTTTTCAGGGGGTGGCAGAAAATTCTGTTTTCGCAAGCTTTACGTCCGCCACAATAACTTACGCAATCAATTCCCTTCTGCACCTACTCATCTCTGTTATTGCGCTCTGCGCTTGTGTAGCTTCTAATGATTCTTCCGCATAACCTCTTCTGTCTCACGCTCCGCGCTCGTGTAGTTCTAACAATTCTTCCATGTAAACCCTTAATGTTCTTCCACTCTGTGATCCACTCCGTGCTTCACTGTGGGGCGGCTTCTGATATTCTTCCACCTCAATTTCCCCTCTATAAAAACCCCCTTTGTACAACCTTTCCTTCTGATCTCTTTTCTCTTTCTTTCCTTAATCAATTCATAATCTGTATTTAAAATAGTGCTAGATCGTTAATCGAAGTACGTCTATTACAAAATTCAATCTATATCAAATAGAATTGATGAATTAACAGATTTTATAAATGATAGTTATAATAATTAATCATCTTCTTTCATATCAAATTCAATTTCTTCAACAATATAGATATTAATTGAGGGTGAATATCAACATCAAATTCATTCTTCACAAAACAGACAGCTTCATTGTGATATGGGACAGGAGGTTCAGGTATGTGCATTTAGTCCATGGCTTGTGTAGGCGCGTCGATGATGTAAGAGGTTGTCCCCACTACATCTTGCAGAGCTCGATTTCTAGCTCATCTTCAAGTCAACATAATTCGTTCGTCTGATAGCTTTACCATGGAAAATCCTATCGAGTCCAATAGCGACTCAGAATTACCCACACGGCTTGAGGTAAATACTCTCAACTTCCGTCATCAACGCATGCGTGCCTTCCTGCACCCCATTGGAGATGGCCTACGAACACTAATCAACTTGATCTATAGGTTGTCTTCGACCAAGACGCTGGACATGTTCGCAAATCCTCACTTATCTCTGCTGATGCTGATGCTCCCAGACTTTCCCGTCGCCATGCAGACCAGCGGATTGATTCTGCATGCTTTGTCCATGCCCTTCTCGAACAACCTGAAGCACTCCAGCTCGGACGAGTTAGCGGAGATAACGGAACAAAATGCACGACAAAATCACCTTTTTCTCAATTAGGTGATGATTACGTGCCTCATGTAATACAGTCCCGCTTGTTGACCAAAAGACAACTTTCAGACATGGCGTGGAACGTCCGGGCACTATCCAAAAAGCTAGGGAGCGTTAAAATGAAACTAAATGTCAGGAGTGTTTTCATACTTACGAAGCCTCAGGAGCAATGCCTTGTGCTTCTGACAAGACAGGTTACACGGTGGCTTTTATCAAAAGATCGGGACCAGCCATACACGATATATGTTGAGAAGAGACTGGAAGATGATGAACAATTTGACGCTGCGGGACTGCATGAGGAGGAGGCATCTGCAAAGGGAAGGCTGAAATATTGGGATTGGGATCTTGTGAAGAAGAAACCACAAACATTTGATTTTATAGTTACACTAGGAGGTGACGGCACGGTTTTATATGCGAGCTGGCTGTTCCAGCAGGTCGTTCCTCCGGTTCTCTCCTTTGCTCTGGGCTCGCTGGGTTTTCTGACCAACTTCGACTTTGAGTGCTATCAATCGACACTTGAGACGGCCTTTCGCGACGGTGTCACTGTAAGCCTCAGGTTGAGATTCGAATGCACTATCATGAGGAGCAGGCCGCGCCCTAATCAGGTAGGACAAAGGGATTTAGTGGAAGAGTTGATCGGAGAGGAATCTGATGATGATACCACACATCACCCTGACAAAATGTTCCAAATTCTGAATGATGTTGTCGTGGATCGAGGACCGAACCCAAGTACGCATGCATCTCCTACCCCTAGCAGCCCATTCGCCAAAACCTGGTATACTTTTCCTTCATGCCTTTCACAGAGCAAGAGAATAACTATGTCTTTAGCAATGTCATCAATCGAAATATTCGGTGACGATGAGCATTTCACCTCCGTACAGGCAGACGGTGTATGCGTTGCTACCCCAACCGGTTCAACAGCATACAACCTCGCAGCTGGTGGCTCACTGTCACATCCTGAAAACCCCGTTATTCTTCTTACTGCTATATGTGCGCATACTCTTAATTTCCGGCCCATTATATTACCTGATACTATCGTCCTCAGAGTGGGAGTGCCCTACAACGCCAGAACTAGCTCATGGGCTGGATTTGATGGGCGCGAACGGTGAGATTCTTGAGTAAATTTTTTCAATAGAATCCAGCAAGCAAACGTGCTCCCAAGATGACTAACTTGGTAACAGAATGGAATTATGTCCAGGGGACTACGTCACAATCTCGGCTTCAAGATATCCTTTTGCCTGTGTGAGCCCTTCCGCGTCTCGAAGTCACGACTGGATACAGAGTATCTCGAGGACGCTAAATTGGAATTCAAGGCATAGGCAAAAAGCCTTCGATGCTAGCAAGGGCTGCGATGCCGACAAAGGAAGGATATAAAAAGTTTTACGGAACTTGACCAGGCATCTCTGGTTTTTGTAATCCCAGTTTTTTTTTTTTTTTTTTTTTTTTTTTTTTTTGTCTTGACAAAATCCTAGCCGGCAACTGCTATTTTTATCATGTCATACATCAACATTAGGGGTGAGTAGTAAAATAAATGTCTGGTGGAGTTCAAAAAAAAAAAAATCTTCCCTGGGATTTAGATTTCCGACGTCAGAAAAGCGTCGGGTAAACAACTAAACAGAGATATAGGCAGTATAATTTCAAATTATTTATTTCAAATATCCATATTTTCAATCCAGCATAAATCAGGGGAGACGACGTCATGTTTTTAACTAGTACGAGGAAATTTGGAGGCGGACTGCACATGTGTCTGCATGGCTCACCGTAATACCTCCAGTGCGAGCTTTCCAAGTTATTGCGCAGAGATATTGAAATCCGCATATTGAAGAACATTTAACCACAGCTCAACAGATAAATACAAATGAAGGTCATCCGAACATGAATTTATTTTTACAATCGTTGTCATGATTTCAATCGCAACGTCCCTAGCCGCTACGTAACCATTTTCCAGAACAACTGGACAACGCTCTATTCCCCTCCACGGCCATACAATGGCGTCTCCCACCAAGCACACACATGCCTCCTCGATAAGCACAGTCATGGGCAACAATTTCGGGGACTCACAGGAAAAACTCCGATCAAGAAACACACCGCAGCCCTCTACAGGGTTGCGCCTCCCTTCCACCAAGAAGACAATTTATGACCGAAATCTCAACCGGACCCGCAATTCGGAGCTCAGCAAAGCAAGCTTCGCCTACCTTTTTTCAGAGATGGTCGTATACGCTCAGCGGCGCGTCACAGGTATACAGGACCTGGAGAGGCGGTGAGTGTATACTCTCCTCACATTAACGGGATCATTACCTTTCCCTATCTGCAAGGAAGTCATTCTAACCGCTCGTGATTGCAATGCCCCAGCCTCAACGAGCAAGGTTACCCACTAGGTCTCCGTCTTCTTGATCTCCTTCTCTACCGCTCCCTCTCCGGCTCCTCATCCGGCGGTCTCACATCCTCTTCCTCCTCATCTGGTACCCAACCTATCCGACCCCTTCGCATCCTCCCTCTCCTGCACCTAATACACGGCCCCCTCTGGCGACTTCTATTCTCCCGTCCAGCGGATGCTTTGGAACATTCCGTCTCCCCAGCCACCCCAAATGAATACATGATCACAGACAATGACCCCCTCGTCAACACCTACATATCAGTACCGCGTGAGATGAACATGCTGAATTGTGCAGCGTATGTAGCTGGGATTATTGAAGGGGTCTGCGATGGATGTGGGTTTGAGGCGAAAGTATCAGCTCATAACCAGGGGAGTGAGATGTGGCCAAGCCGGACAGTGTTTTTGGTACGGTTTGGAGAGAGTGTTATGGAGAGGGAGAAGATGTTGGAGAGGGCGGGGGTGAAGTAAATTATTTCAAAGGGGAAATGATTTCCAAGTAACAGGACAATGTTATGTTACATATATGGTTACTGGGACTTTTTTTTTGGGCGTAATCAGTCGCTTTGACAAGGCGTTTACATTCTCTTCCCTGTCCAACTGTTCTTGTTTCTCTCTCGATCCTTGCTGCAGTCCCCGCGATTCTTTCTTGTTTTTTGGACGCGCTCTTAGACATGGCTACTACCACAGGAGTAAGAGTCTACTTGTTGAGCTACCTCATATATGAGTTCTGGGGCTTCATCGAGGTTGTTCTTTCTTAGTGCTCCACATATATAAGTATGCAGCTGTCGAAAAACGGAAAGGCATAATATATTTCCTCTAGTCCGCCCTTACAACTTCAGTTGGGTTCGGCAAGTCGCCGAACTGCCTCCGTCAGCCATGATTTCAAGGATACTCGCAGTCTCTCTCGGCTCTAATCTACATCGAAAAGAGACTCAATCATCAGTACCGGTACTCAATAACAATGGCAGCTACCTCTGTTTGTAATCTGATAATACACAGCCTTCAGATTTTTGGGTATCTCGGTTGCCATCTTTTGCACAAGATCATTGAACAAGAACTTCGGAGGCAGAGAATCCTCATGCGAGGAAGGCGACATGCTAGTCAAAGCGTAGAGATTTGGAGCGGGACCTCTGAGGCGCCGCTGGCAACTGGTGCAGACCGTGACAGTTATCGGGAAGAGCAAATCACCTAGAGCCGCGCCCTATAGTGGGTTGGAGAAAAGCACACCGAGTGTGGTAATTGAAGCAGGCAAACTATTTTCGGGCTCGGTCTCTCCGGTACATATATTTTAACATTTTGTAAAACCGATAACGAGACAGGACAGACTTGCTTCCTATTAGCAGATAACATACTCTATACAAATTCTGTGCCATGGATTATATTGAGCTTCGGAAAATATATTATCCGAAATCGCAACCATCATCGGCAAGAAAAGCACTGGTACTTTGAGACAAACAGCTTTCACGCCTTCTCCTTGCAACCCGCCCTCTGCGCGGAGGTTCTCCTCACTGCACCGTGCCGTCTTGGTAATGATTGCCACCTAACGTTACTGTCCATAAGTCATCCGTCCAGAGTAGCCATGCCGCCTCCATTCCCATCCTCTCGGGATCGTATGACTGCGAACCCGCAAAGGCCACAACGCTACCGACCGGGAAAACCAATTGTTGAAGAACAATCTTCTGAGGAAGAAGATGACGACGAAGACGAAGTTAATAATGAGGAAGAACAACGAAGAGAACGTGAGAGGTTACGGCGGGAACAGCGGAGAGCCCCTCCGCCGAAAGCGACATCCTTCCCGGCCGGCTCCACATCGAAAATCACAAGCGGAGTGCAGGGTGTGAAATTAGATGGGGAAAGCGAGGACGAAGCAGGCTTCGTCACCGAAGAGGAAGAGGAAGAGGGAGATGTGAAAAAGGTGCCAGGACGTCAAGCGCATCCAGCGGGCGATCAAGTCAGTGGAAGTGAGGATGAGGAAAGTGAAGAAAGCTCCGAAGTGGAAGAGGAATCAAGCTCGGAAGACGAGACTCCGAAGCGGCTATTGCTTCGACCTACTTTTATCAAGAAGAGTCAACGGAAGGAATCTTTGACTCCGGCTGCCGCCTCTGCAGATCCAGGTGTAGAAGACGCAGCTGAAAGCGCTCTAAGAAAGGAGAAAGCGGACCTTTTAATTCGGGACCAACTAGTGAAAGAGGCAGCAGAGCGGGCCGCGGGGAAGAAATCGTGGGACGATGATGAGAACGTTGAAGGTGAAAACGAAGAGCAAATAGACGATACTGATGGGCTTGACCCGGCTGCTGAATTTGCCGCATGGAAACTTCGAGAGCTGAAACGTGTCAAGCGCGAACGAGAAGCCATCGAGCAGGCGGAGAAAGAGCACGAGGAGATCGAGCGTCGTCGAAACCTCACCACGGAAGAGCGAGAACGCGAGGACCGCGAGTTCCTTGCGCAACAAAAAGAAGAACGCGAAGCCGGAAGGGGGAAAGCTGGATTTATGCAACGATATTTCCATAAGGGTGTATTTTATCACGATGACATGGAAGCCAAAGGGCTGGATCGTCGCGATCTAATGGGAAGCCGATATATGGATGAGACGAAGAATCGCGAAACTTTGCCACAATATCTACAGGTCAGAGATGTGACCAAGATTGGTCGAAAGGGTAGGACGAAGTATCGAGATCTCAAGACGGAGGATACAGGGCGCTGGGGGGTAGATGGATATAATCGCTCCGTGGCATCGAACAACGCCGCAAGATTCGGGATAGCTGATGACAGATTCCTGCCTGACCAGCGTGATGGGGATAGGAATAAGCCTTTTGGTCCTACGGGGGCCAATTCCAGTGCCATTAGAGATCGGCCACGGCCCAAGCAACGGTCGCAGTCTGAATCAAGATCGAGGTCGAGGTCGAGGTCAAGAGTGCAATCCCGACAGCGTTCGCCTTCACGATCAAGGTCCGCTCCTCGATCTCCACGACGTAGGGATCGCTACCGCGACGACGACAGATACAGAAAAAAAAGAAGCCCATCACCTTTCCAGGACAGAGATAAACGTCGTCGGATAGGTTCACTTGCGTAAGCATTACATGCCTTTTCATGTATTTCAAATCCATCAAACTTGCAACTTGTGACTTATGGCATATTGCATTTAATGGAGTTTGGATTTCTTTCTCACTTGCCATTTCAATTTTCATGCCTCAAGGGGGAAATGTTTACTTTGTATCATATAGGCGACATGATAAACCCGTTTATTCTTTATGTTTTTTCTCACCCCCTTTCTTCAGTCCAGAATATGGAAAGATTTACGCATATACCCTATCTGGGTATATTGGAGCAGCAAATTAACGACCAAAGTTAACCCAAATCGTACACTCTAATACAATTTCTCTTCTGACGTTCTGATATGTTGGAGCACACCATGCACTCAAAATGATCATGTAACCTGCTGGATAGCATTGATACAAAGTTTTTGGAAGTACATGCCGGAGAAAAAAAGACACTCCGTGAAAGTTATAACATCATGAAACAAAATATAGACAATCTCTACGCGTGTAGCCCCTCAGCGAAATGCTCCTAGGAAAATGGACTGTAGTCAGACAATAAATCCACGATTGTGCTGATTTTGTTTCGCACATACACCAGAGCCTGGTAACTTACCAATAAGCCCCTCCAATTGGATAGGGCCGATTCGCGTCGACAGGCTATCTGTAAATTATCCTCGATGGTCTAGTGGTGATGATTTCCGCTTGTCATTCAGTTGTTAGACTGACGAGCGCGGGAGACCAGGGTTCGATTCCCTGTCGGGGAGGCAAAATTCTTTTTCGCTTTCTTTTTGTGGTTCCCGAGTTACTCTCTTATGAGTACAGTGGATTTATACACGCAATGTTTTTACACTGATTTATATACGGTATTTATGTAGAATTAGCAGCGTATAGACAGTCTTTCTTATTTAGTTAAGCGCTTGTAGTCCTGGATCTTGTTGTGTATGATAGATACCGCGATTGAGCCGCTCAGGATGCAATCATCAAGCTAAAAGCCATGGACCGAACACAGTAACCTGGTGCAGATGCGCTGTCGCCGGAAGGGGACACTGCAGCATATGCTGCGTAGTTATTTTGATGACTGTCGCTGCAAGGGTGTCTACCTTCTCATCCATGAAGACAATCGCTACTTTACAATCAATTTTAACCAATGTGACATCCCGGGCGGCCAGTTTCCCCCACCGGACGAGGTCGGTTTCAAAAGTTTCGTTCAGCCAAGCTACTATCTACGCCACTGATATAGTTACTAGTTGAAATATCATAGATACCGCTAATGAGAAGCAATTACCCCTCATTTTAAATAGCAGATAATCTCTCAGAGATTGATGAATCAAATTTGGCTTCTCTTTTATAACTTTCAATACAGATATCTCAACCTGTGCTGTGATAGTGGCTCTGAAGTCTTTTGATGGTAATGTGATTCCCCACTATGCTGCGGCTGGTGGTTGCAGTGTATAGAGATGATGGATTGGATGGCCACGCCTGCTGTGGGCCGAGCCACACCACCACACCCACGGGTATATATCTCACTATGAGTGCAACCATTTAACAAATGATTACATTGGCTTTTTGCTATGGATAACTTAGTGGTCATAGTGCTATCTTATCACAGTAAAACTACTAAAGAAATTAGTAATTTCTCTCAGTTATCTATTCAAACCATCAATTGTCTCTATAGAACTGCTTAAGATCATGACTTTAATTCAGATCTTTCTTATCTTTATATCTGTGATAAAAGATGCTCCTCACTCTGAATCTGGATGACCCACAAAACAGCAGTCAGCTCAAGAATATATCCTCATCAAGATACACTGTGATCAATATGGGAGAGAGAGATTCTGTGTTGATATAGCAGGTGAACTTAGTTAGACTTGATAGATGAGTAGAAGAAATAATGAGAGAGAATTTATATGTAAAATCTAGTATAAATTTCTAGTGGCTGTTGTGGCGTTTTTAGTGCTTGAACAAAACTTTTGAAACCGACCTCCGTATATTTGTATTTATCTCGAGTGTGCCATACTACACATACAGTATATATACTACACTTATGTACACTTCTTGCCCTGCTGAACTTGCCCCAGTAAGCTAATATATGGATATCTGCTTACACAGTCTTGTATCCTTTTACAACTTCCTGGTAAAGTACGCGGAGGAGCACTTTTTTGATTGTTCCGCCTCATGCCACTATTGGCATGCGTCTTTACCAGCGGTGCCTTGGCTATTCCTGGTGTGTAGCCGCCCTCATGCCTTCGCTGGGCCATCCATTTTTACTTGGCGAGAACATGAGTTCCTAGAAATACTCTATTCCTAATTTTCAACAAGCCCGCGTCAAAACCTGCTTGTTATTAAGATTGCGCCAGCATAATACAGCAGGTCTGGGCTGATCCTAGGACAGCACAGCAAGGTTGAATTTCCAAGGCAGTGTCCAGCCACAACGCCAACTTTCAGCCAGCCTTGTAACCAGATGTCGCTAATAAGAATATCGAATTCACCCCCTCATTGTAGCCTCTAGGCTCGGAATTTCCCCTGCCTCAGTTGGCTTGATAGATCCGCCATGGCCTGCGCGTATGAGCTCCTTCAAGGCATTGATGAACAGAGTGCTGCTGTGGTCGTCCAGTTGCAACTTCAGGATGCCGAACTCTATCTTTTTACTTCCGAACGAAAGCCTCGTGAGGGCGAGCTGCATGCATAGCTAATCCACACCATAAAAAGAAGGGTATGATGGCCCAATTGTAGCTATCAGTTATTGTTTTCAGGACAGAACATAAGTACAAATTATGTTTCATAGTCTCTCAGCCAGCTGGACGAGCGCGGATATATGTAGAACAGTGATTCATTGGCAAGATAGCAGAGAAGTAATGATAAGAATAGCAACATGTAATGCAGACAGTATGAGGCTAGAAAAGAAGTTCCTGCGGAAATTCACTCGAAAAGGTACCGCTTAATATTTTCAAGTCTCTGAAGGTCTCCGTCAATTGAGTTGGCCATCTCCTTCTCAACCCAGCCTTCAGTATAATCATCAGAATGGGACGAAATTTCAGTCCAAATCATGATCAGTCCCAGATCATGTTCTTATTTTGATAGTCAGTCACTTTACATGAAATATCAAGATTTATTAGTCCCATTTCACTCATGTTTTAATAATTCTAGTCACTTTACACTCCCATTCTGTTCCTGATCCATCTCATGTCATGCCAAGAAATGGTCTGGGACCAAACCAAACCAAACCAAATGTGTAATTCATAGTCCCAGCGGCCAGTCTACTAACAGGCATATGAATGATCTTTATGATAGATAGATAGGTGGTGATTATTGGTTAATTTCTGAAGATTGCTATACTTAAAATATTTCTATACACTGCGGTTTTCTACATCCTGTGGCGCACTCACGAATAATTCGAGCATGACGGTTGTCTGGTAAGAGATTGATAGGAATGACCAGATCCGGAAGATCATGACTCTAGGAAACCAGCTATGTTTATATCATTTCTCGGACTGCAAACTCACATTTTGTGTCGCGTCGCATCATTCACCCATCATACGGAATAATACTGCTCTCCCTTCATCAGTTCCGCTGCGGTCCTTTTTAACTGATCCTCGCTTGATTTTACTGCTTCAGGGTAAACCAGGTTGAAGAAATAGAGTCGAAGTAATGACCACTCAAGACCCACCGCGTTTTGATACCCACCAGACCGATTCTGCCCACTTGGTACTTCGAGAAAAGATACCTTTCTGCCATCCGGGATACCGGGAACCAAGGAACACATTACTGGTTCTTCCGCGCGTCGATCCTGCCACCACATCCCTTTTTGGCATACATCATCGAACAGCCCTCGTTGCATGCCAGATAATCGCCAACAATGCCTTTGAAACTGGCCATTTCACCCTCGATAAAGACGGCCAGCAGCGTGTGGATGTGGCCCCTGATGGTATTCTCACTAACGGAATATATTATTTTATCGTTGGAGATGGCCCCAGTAAATATGTTTCCCCTTATCTTCATTGCTGCTTCTACTAGCTCATTTTTACCACCAGGCCAATACCCTGTTGTACCAAGCTTTCGGGACTGGGAGTTCCTTCGTGCTCGCATCCCAGGCCCCTGGTCTCAGATTCCCATTGAATTTCCTCCTGCCATGGGCCGCTGTGCTGTTACCAATTTTTCAATCTGTCTTGAGGATGCCCACCTCATTCCAAAGGAAGAGGCCATCTGGTACACAAGGAATGGAATGAATCTATATGGAGAGGATTTAGGTGATATTGATGGGTCATCCAATCTTGTTCCACTGAGATCTGATATCCACAAGTGCTTTGACAATCGATGGCTTGCCATCGTTCCAAAAGTTACTGGGACTGAAGTCGCTACTACAACAACCTCCTCTCCTCAATATGTTACACATATATTTTCAAGTCGTGCATCTGAATATTGGCCCACATATCATAATACCCGTGTCCAGTGTCTCAAAACTCATTCCCCTCCATATATCTTCGCTCGGTTCGCTTGGACCGTACTCCTCCATGTTAAACCCTTTATCACCAGTGGTGACTCGCGTCACATCATTCGACTACATGTATCATCTGATGCAGAAGGTACCAGGATGGAACAAAAGGCAGAGTTTCCCAGTGGTGCAGAGCTTAAAAATAGTTATGGCGGTGAGAGATCAAAGAATGCAACCCCGAGAAAGAGATCAGCAGTGGGAAGTACGGCGGATGATGGCAATTTCATAGAGGCTGGTGATAGCAGTGATAGCAGTGTGGATGGGACTTCTGGGATGATATGATGTACGATTGGGAAATGAGAGGAAAGAGGAGGCAACACCAGATATCCACCGAAACAGATCCGAATATGATGCCCGAAGGCAACAACAAGACTCTGTCCGATGTAGATGGGATACGTGTGGAAGAGAGTCCCGTCTGAATAGTTTTTGAGGAGGGATACTCAAGAACTGATGAATACTGCTGTCATTCCAATCAAGGAAGCGGCTCCGCTCCTGTTTAGGCTGACTAGTACACCTCAGAGTCCTGTGCTTAATACAACAGGAAACTTACCAGCAGAATATGAGATTGCGGAACCATCTCCATCTACTCTGCCATCACGCAACGCAAACCTAGATTTAGGATCAAGAGAGCATCAACAACAGCCGCTTCGGAATTCCAGCATCACAAATAAAAACCCAGTGTCTTGGGACACTTCAGTTGACACCAACAAAATTTCACAGTCCAGCTCAAACCAGAACAGGCGAGCGAACTCAGAAACACCTACCACTTTGCATAAAGCTCAGTAGTTTTGAATAACAATCTCTCTGGCCAGTCTTGCTCCTGTGGGTATTGGACATAGTGGTGATGATATATATCGATGATATTGTTTAATAGCAACATAATGAATAATATGACTTCGCACTTTCGCTCCGTCCTGCCCCAGCGGCACGTTTCATAAAGCTCCTGCTATAGAGTGTTGTGCCTGAGCTTTCCAATCCTTTGAAGAAGTTAAAGATGTCTTCATCTGGGATTTAGGGGTTCATTTGCCCACCCCAAGAAGTGGAGTGATAGGAGCAGGCTGCCCCTAATATTAATTTCTATTGATGTGTGTTCGTAAGTAGAATAAGGTCATTACAGCGGAAAACAAAAAAAACCTATTATTTGACACAAATGTCACTATAGGCTGTTGTCGGCAAGTTCACATACCTATATTTCAAGAGCTGAGATGTTGACTCCGGAATTCAAACCCACACACCATGAGTCCCCCCCACACCATGGTGCTACTTGGCGGCCGCTCATGCATTCGGCTACCGAGGCGCTTCTTCATCAGTGTTCAGGTCATGGAAAGAGCTTGCTGTGTTCTATCAATGCTAGATTCATAATGAATATTGTAACTGCTACTACAATGAATAATGATTTTACTATGAAGCGAATATTCTGCAGAGACTGCTGTGCTCTTATGCCTGCTTACGATCTGATGAGATTGCTCAGATGCAGGTTTGTCAATGTGAGTTAAAAGAAGACAACAACACACTTTCAGTCTGCTGACATTCAGAAACGAGTTAGCTTTCAGAATCTCTTTCTTCTAAGCCATCAATTCAAAGGTGCCATCAGTGGATAGCATCTCCGGAGTCAAGGAAATACAGCCAAATTGCACAGTACCGGGACGACAGATGCTCTACTCCGTATGTACATGTATGTATACATTTATTCCATGACATCATAATGGCCGAGATGAGCGTTATCCCCAGACAGGCGAGGCTAACCTCAGTCAAAGCGTCCAACGCAAATTGAAACTCTATTCTACTGTACATCATGTTTACAGCCCCAGAATTTGTGTCAGGGCTGAATGTCATTCAAATGATCTGAGCAAACTATAATTTGAGGTTATGCATCGATCTACTCTGTCTGTGGCCACTGGTTAGGGACAACACCCCCTAGCATCATGGCCGCATTATTGGGAGAAACATCCCCTATCCATGAGATGGCATTGCGAGTGAGATGTCAACACTGAGGATGGGTCAATGAGAGCTATTTTCAATCGTGAGCACTGCCAGTGTCATTTTGAGCACCTGGCCCATCACCCCGCTCAAAAATGTGTCCTCCACACTTTTAACCTTGGAAACCACTTTCTTCATCTAGAAGCTGATTACCCTGCTTGATTGAAACGCACAGCAACTGTTGGAAGAATCCAAGGATGCAGATTGATCTTGCTCACGCTGGTAGCCCAAATAGGGACCCTTCAACATTTATGAATGTGTGACCGTGTTTACCCAAGAGCTGCACAATGGAAGGGAGCTGAACGGGATGTGAGTGTGACACTTGGGGAGGCTCTGCTGCAGGCTACGAGAACGCAAATGGAGGAGCTAACTTCACGTCGCGCGGGAAGTGCTTCATTGATATCCTCCCATTTCATCTGTCCCAGCCCTCCCCCGCGAAGAGTGGAGAATTCCACTAACTAGCAGGCAATCCTTCATAGGGAAGTTTCCACTGTCCCTATTTCGAGATGCGGTATTCACCCAAGGATTAGTATGCTTTGTTTTCCCCCATCTTCATCATATTTTTTCTCGGTAGTCATATCTTATGGCAACTCCGCCGATTCCAACGCTGAATCTTGGTGAGTCATGTTCTCCATCCGGTGCAGGACCTTTCACGCGCATTTGTAAGCTTTGCTGAATGGCCTAACTTTAACAATTCTGTTATGGAAGTTAGTTGAGTTCGCAAAGTCCATCTCTATACCTACACCGTTAAGAATCGTAGAGGTTATGGGAATCTGATCTTCACTCGTGGGCCCACCGCTCCTGCATCTTCTAATATTTATCACCCAATAATCGTAAACAGTGCCATATCCCTCAATCTGTATCGAGACGATCACTAGTATGGGTCAACTTTAATTGGATACAAAGCTTGACGTCCTCCCACCTTGTACTCATCACTCCATCTTCCCAATGGCACCTGACATCCAAAACGATAATTCCCGCGCACGCCAAGTTCCAACGAAGAATTCAAAATGGCTCTCAGAAAGAGGATGATCTGCTCACTTCAGCACTCAAGCATATTTACCTAAAATCACTCATACAACTCATCGCGCAACTTAGCCAACCCCGGCTCCGACCCACAATGCCCGTTCACGGTCAATGCCGATCGGACATGGCCGGATTCCGGTTCGCCATCTTTTTCTGCCATCGCACAAGTGATAGACATGATATTTTTGATCTGTCTGAACAAGTCAGCTTGAGGAGCTCGTTCGATCATGGGGTTCCATGTCCATTGAGGATTATTTGTGACGTAGCAGTCAGTTGCTGATCATCGACGTATTTATGGAGGACAGTTGGAAAATTCCTTTTTCTTGCGTCGTTGTCAAGAGCGCTGCATTTCAGTGACAGATGGACCTGGCTGAGAATTGCTGTAGCCAGACTGGTGAGCTGATTTGATGTCAAGAACAAGATCCCTTTGAAGTATCTCGGCTTTCGGAAGAGCTCTGGGTTAGAGAAAGACATCGGCCTCATTCAGAAGTAGTAGAGCCTTCCAGTGGCTGGCTGTTTCGAAGGCTTGATAAAGTTGAAGGTTCAAAACTTCGGCCTCAGAGGATAGCTGACCCGCGGATATCTGTGATGTGAGCATGATCTGTGATAGAACATTATCATTGTTAACATACTGAATTGAGAGGGGCTCTTGAAGTCTTCCAATAAGATTTCTGCTGTCAGAGTCTTGCCTCTTTGAGATGGCCGTTAGAGAGTAGACTAGCTTGTATAACAATTGTCAAGAATGCTCTAGGAATATACAGAAGCATGATGAGCATGCGACTCTTGTTTGTGGTAAAGTCATTGAATTGAGTATACTCCGTACTGAGTTCTCCAATGGTCATGATTGTATCTTTCACTTTTGCAGGGAGCACTTGGCAATCAAATGCTGCTGATGATCAGTCATTTGTTCTAATATTATCAAGTGCAAATTTGTCTGCATGAGTCAGTTGTAGTATTCCCTGTAAGAACTGTAGTGTGATATCTTACCCAGCACACTTGAAGAGCAAACAAGGAGATCATTATCTACTAGTAATGATCAGTTCATTGGGAGACTCCTCGGTGCGGTCAACCTACCCTTTCAAGTCACCAGACACAGTACAATCAAACATGACAGCAACAGCAATAATTGTAAACTCTGAGACTACTCATAGTTCTAGATGAAAGCTGTCTCAAAATCACATTTTCTAACCACGGTAAATGCTGGGCATCAACATTATGAACAGAGTTTACCCCTTTTCAACCTTCTTTAGAACTTCACAATCCTACATGAGAAGAATACACTAGTAGTTACAATGTCATAAGAGATGTATGTAAGCTTATGCTAAGCACAATATTTTCCAGAAGTGTTCACAACAGCTGATATTTTCATTGCTATTAGATGAAGACCTGCTCCTGTACGCCGTACGCTGTACCCTGTAACTAGTTGAACGCGGTTAGTTTTCTCAGCACCCATGGGATCCTAGCCCAGTGCATTAGTGAAGCCCCAACTTTCCCTCTTTGGGCCTGTCAGCAGTGGCACCAAACGACGCTAGCTCCTTTCGGCATTAGCATTGTTTCACGCCGGCCCCGTGATCTGATGTTACCCCTGGCTTCAATGCGCAGCACAGCCAATCACAAGCCCCGGCCTGCTCTCTGTGGCCGGCTGCCGGTTGGTTGCAACATCACAACCGTCCCCTTTGACACTTGGTCTCCTTGCCTCACCTTCGCTCTCTCGCTCTCTCACTCTCACTCTCACTCTCACTCTCACTCTCACTCTCGCTCCCCCTCTTTGTCCTTATCGCGTCCTCTCTTCCCCCGGTGGTGGGGTCTGTCGCTCATTCATTCATCCTGCCAGTTTCCCTGGCTGCTGTTGTCCACTTCACTCCTTCATGGGCGAGATACAAACGCATTCTGTCGAAATAAAGTAGATCAATTCAGTCAATCTATTCATTCCTTTATCCCGGACTTAAAATTTGCTACAGACGATCACTCACTCTTTCATGCCCTCTCCCCCACCAACAATGCCCTCCCTCCTGCTTTTAGCGACTTTGTTCGTCTCTCTTCTCTCCACTGCCGTAGCGCAAACATGGACAGCCTGCAATCCCCTCGAAAAGGATGACTGTCCTCGGAACCCAGCCTTGGGCACATCATACGAAGCCAACTTCACAAATACCCTTAATGAAGTCATCTGGAACATCACTAACGGTCAACTCGACTACATCGATGGCGTCGGCACCAGTTTCGCCATCAAAGAAAGACTCCAATCTCCAACTATCCAATCGCACTTCTACATCTTCTTTGGCCGCGTGGAGGTCATCATGAAAGCCGCCTTTGGCAGGGGCGTGGTCAGCAGCATCGTGCTCCAGTCGGAGGACCTCGATGAGATCGACTGGGAATGGGTGGGCAGCGATACCACTCATGTCCAGACAAACTATTTCGGAAAAGGTAATCGGACTCTAGGCGATCGTGGTGGGGTCCATGAGATGGATGCGCCCATGGACAAGTTTCATAATTACACCGTCGACTGGACTGCAGAGCGATTTCAGTGGTGGATCGATGATACCTTACTCCGCACGGTGACTTACGACGAGGCCCTGGGTGGGAAGAATTACCCGCAAACCCCCATGACCGTCCGAATGGGTATCTGGCCCGCGGGCGACAAGAAGAACGAAAAGGGAACGATTGAGTGGGCTGGTGGTGAGATCGATTACAGCAAAGTTCCATATTTCATGACGGTGAAGCATGTCAAGGTCGAAGACTACTCGAGTGGTAAGGAGTACGAGTACACTGACAGATCGGGTTCCTGGCAAAGTATCAAGGTCATCAAGTACGTTTGGACCTCACCCCTAAAATTACATGGATGTTTCCCCCCCCCCCCCCTCCTTCGCCCACCACACGGTAAATGAGGAAAACAGAAACTCATTATGTAACTAACTCCTCAACAGCGGCACTTCCTACCTCGCCGAGGAAGCCCACAAACCACCTCCAAAGTCCCTCTCGCAAAAATGGCGCGAGCTTCCTCAGGGTGCAAAGATTGCCGTCTATTCCTCCGCGGGAGGAGTCGCCCTCGTCGGCCTTCTCGTCCTCCTGTTCTGTTGCGTCAAGCAACGGAGAGCAGGACGCAGGGAATTTGCTCTCCAGGAAAGCAAATTCACGACGGAGCAAAACGATATGATCACGATGCAGACGCAGTGGAAGAAGAAGCATTATCAGGAAATTCGATGATGAATTTTTTCTTCCTCTTCTACTTCTCTGGGTGTGGAGGTTGCCTTTTTCTGCTTTCCACTTGATAATTTCTATTTATTTCTTGTCATCTTTTTCCCTCACTTCCGGGGCGTCTAGTGATTATTGATCTACACTCCACATAGAATAAACGCTGGCCAGGCACACATGGATTGGGACAATGAATATAGGAAAGAAAAAGGGAAGAGAGCAAATCTCAGCTGGGCCATCCTTGTTTTCCTTTCCCCCTTTCGCCGTTTCCTTCTCCACTTCATAATTCGCAATCTGTCTACTTGGCTGGTAGGGCAGGCCCTGGCTACTAAACTGGTTGCAAAAAAATCGTGGCCCCTCTTTTCCTTCTTTCTAGATCCATTGTAGCAAGCAGTGTCAGCGAGAATTCTTTTTCTTCTCTCTCGGCTTTTTACCTCACATGTATCATCAACTTCAAATCACAACGTCTCCGATACCCCCTGTCTAACCCAGATCCCCCTGGTCGACATCCATTTAATCCCCGCCCCCATCTTGCCTCCCACCCCTCCCTAGTCTTCTCTGTTTTATCTAATTTTTTTTTTTTTTTTTTTTTTTTTTTTTTGGCTCTTTTCTCCTCCTATCGCCCGAGCCCACTCTCAAGTACCTGACATCAGACATATTGACAGGTCCCTCTATATATATATAGAATTAGTACAATGAGGGGGAGGGTATGTAAAAAAAAAAAAAAAAAAAGGATTTCTGGGATAGGGTTATACGAGGAGTTTTAATAGGAATGTAAACCATGAACAATAGGCTCAAAAACTCCGTGGTTCATCATCTCCATCTCGTCTCTACCCAACAAAATTAACCTTTTAAAACACCATCTAAGCTTGCTTAGTTCCATGCGAATTTTCCTAGATGAACCCTTCAGCTATCTTCTCCGAAGCCTCTACAGCGTAAGTGTCATAAAAAGAAATAAATAGAACAGATACACGAGATGGCCAAGAGCCTGCGTGGCTGAAGAACGCTGTGTACTCCGTCCACAGGAAGGCAATGTCACTGCTTGGCACGAAGAGGAAGGTTGTGGATGGCTGGCTGCCCATGCTTGGAGTGGTTTGCGCACTGATACGATTGACAAGGCTACGCCGTAGTGCTTCAGAATCCATGAGGAATAAGCAAAATGGTTACAGCAAACTGGCCAGTAGCTGGCAAAACAGTGTACTGCATCTGTTCCTGGTCACTTGCATTTCTCGTTCACACCCATTCAGGCAATGTTGGAAATTCTAAAATTAACTGTTCGTGTTTCAGCCTTCCATTTCGCTTTGAAGGGTCGGCTCGTTGAATGATCATCTTGTTTTGCGGCGAACAAAAACAATTATCAGCTTAACCTAACCCCGGTCCGTGCTGCTTCCCGCGTTTGGCCTTTGAAACTCGGCCACCATGCTTCCCCCTTTTGTTGTCCTCTCGCCAGAAAGAAGTCGCCCAAAACAGAACTGATATACAAAATAATAGGCATCAGCCCTGATATCCATTGATATAAGTGGGATACTTCCATGACTCGTGTAGCTGTTTCACCTCAGACATGCGATGAGAGAATTGAGGTTAAAATATGCTTATTCACATGGCTGAAACGGAAGGCCGTTTAGCGTTTCCGAGCTGCTTTGCTGGGACGGTCGTATCCCATCTCAGTTGAGTTCACTTGGCCTTGCATCTGATCAGGAAAGAAAGCTGTGTTTGTGTAGCTTCTCGTATCATCATGGTCGTGGTGCGAAGGTGATTCAAGCAGCACCCTTGTGATGTTGGACACAGAGGCTTTCCGACCCAGCCCCCTCCGCAGTTGGAATTCGAGAGTTCCATGGTGTATACGAGCACTGCATAGATGCTGAGGCAACCTGTCAAACCGGCATATTGAGGGGCGCCGAGGCTGAGGCGATCCTTCATCCTCTAAAATCTAGGACCAAGTTAGCGTTGCTCAATTGGCAGGGGATTCTGAACATAAAAAGCACCTCCGAAGCCGCCTCTATTGTGGTGTATTTCCATCTTTTAACATCTCTAACTAGAACATCAAAACCCCAGGAATCAGATATAGATATATAGTTTTGCACTTTCTTTTCTTTGCAATTCTTATCGTTTTCATTCTCCCATTGAGATTGCATTTTTCTTGCCCTTCCATTGAATCCCTCTCGCCAAAATGGGGCTTGAGAGCGGCCTTCCCGAGCCGCGACAGGGCATTATGGGAGCTGCCTTCGGACAACGATCCTCCAATAAAAAGTTATTAATGCTGATCCGCTTCGCCATCTTCGCCCTAATCCTCTGTTACCACCAGTCATTTATCCAGCCAGCTGAAGCCATTAAATTCGTCAGCCGAAAGCAATGGGGAGCGAAGCCTCCGAAGTCGTCGATGTCACCAGTGGGCCATCCTAAGGGTGTGAAAATCCATTACACAGGCGGCTACATGTCCAAAGGGGGCCACTCCAAATGCGCAGGAAAGTTGAGAGTCATTCAGAACGAACACCTTAACCACCCGACAGAGGGCTATAGCGATATTGCATACACTCTTGCCGTCTGCCAGCACGGTTACGTCTTCGAGGCTCGCGGCGCAAAATGGCGTACCGGTGCCAACGGCAATGCGCAACTGAATAGAGATCATCAATCGGTTCTCGGATTAGTTGGCTCCGATGGTGACACCCAACCCTCGAACCAAATGATCCAGGGTATCAAGGATGCCGTTACGTACTTGCGCCAGAAGGGATGCGGGACTGAAGTCAAGGGCCATCGTGATGGATACTCGACCGCGTGTCCTGGAGGTCCGCTCTACAAACTCCTCAAGGATGGCAAGCTCAATCCTTCTGGAGGCGGGGGTGATAGTGAGCCCAAGCCCAAGAAGCCGGGTAAGAAGCCCAGCAGCAAATTAGTCAAGTTCCCCGGCGCGTCATGGTTCCATCGGAAGCCGAAGAGCAGCATTATCACTGCAATGGGTAAACGACTTGTTGCGGAGGGCTGCAGTGTATACAAGCAAGGACCAGGACCGCAGTGGACTGGCGCAGATCGTGCGTCGTACAGGAAGTGGCAGCAGAAGCTAGGATTCAGCGGCAAGGACGCTGATGGGTGGCCCGGAAAGACCAGCTGGGACAAGCTGAAGGTTCGAGTGTAAACAGATGGTGTGGATATTATATTCGCACAAGTTGCTTGGGAGCAGCTTGGGTTGGGAAGGTTTCAATTTTATTAATATTTTTTTTTTTTTTTTTTTTTTTTTTTTTGGCATATTTCACACATATTTTGTTCTTCTCTATTTTCGTTGTCACTCCCTAATTTCCCTCACTCCAGCAGCGTTCGCTTTTCCTCCAGCGTATAATACCTATGTTGCTTATAGTATTTCATTCATGTATTCTACGAATATCCATTATTACCACTTCAACGGTTGTTCGCAATGCCGTCATCACCTATAGAGTGTTCTCTTCTGAACTTCATTTCTTCAATTTCTTGCCGGAATGCTAGTAACTAGCTACCAGATGCATTGTAATTTCAAGCTGGGCGGAGGATGATAACGGAAAGATAGTTACCGAGTGCGGTTTTAAGCTAAAGTTGAACGAGGGCTCAAAAATGCAAACCATGCTGACGGTTGTCTTGGACTTTCCAGCCCGGCCGAAAATTTGAACCCATTTTCAACTTTGCACCGTTCAAAAATTTAACCTGAAAAATTCCAAAAAAATTATTTGAAAATTCGAGGAACTTTAAACATATCACGTGTTTTCGCGTCTTTTACCCCGCGACGCTCCAACATCAAGAATCAAATCCCAAAACAAAAGAAGACAAAACTCCTCCCAAGATAAAACAAATCCTGTTTCGCACAAGCCAATAAACTATTTCCGATCAATACTGAGACCTCAGCAATTGGCGTCCGTGGATAAAAAAAGGGTGTCGAAATATCCAAGCCGAGTAATGTCCCTCCCAACCCCGCGCCTCCTCCCTGAGCATTTGCATGCCTTTCTCCCAGGCCCCAACATCTCAGGACCGAGCACAATCCGCATCCTAGGAACAGTAACCGCACTGCGTGGCGAACATGCGACCATCAATTGCGGCAACCATGGGGATGTCACATTAATTTTGAACCGCGAGGCGCACTTACAGTTGGGCAGGATGGTGGACGTTGTGGGGAAAGTTACGCAGTTGGATGGGGTAAGCATTGAAACGGAGTTGGAGTGAAGCTTTGCTAATTGGTGTATTTTGCGAAGGGCCTTGCTGTAAAGGTTTTGAATGCAGTGGATTGTGGCGATCCAAAGGAGATTAGTAGGTTTTTCTTCCCCTCTTTTTTGAGCATGTTGACTACCGGAGAAAAAAAGAGAGAGTAAATAGAAGGGCTAAGTTGTAACCACCTTTTCCGCTCAATGCAGACTACAAAATCTACGAACAGGTCGTCGAAGTTACACATCGGGTTAAAGAAATCTTCTATTAAAGTAATCGGAATATGAGTGAATGCCCTCACAAAACAAAATTTTCATTTTGATACCCGCAATATGCATGCACGACCCACCAGTTTCTGTATTTCCTATGAAGATAACAATTTCAGCGAGAAGATGGGGTGAGAAAGTAGATGGATGATCATTCCGCAATTCACTTCCGTGACAATGTAGTCATGATCCATTTTCATTCACGGGAAACTGGAAAATTTATGGCTGGGCATGTAGTGATGAAATCAAGGGCGTTGACGGAAAGAAGGATTAATTTTTCGCTTCTACCCTATAACCATATACATATAGAATTTGGGGAGCGGGTGTCGGTTCCAGGTGAATTGTCTCGGTTTCTTTGGCACAGGCATCGCTTTCGCTAGGTCTCTCTTTGCATGGAGGTTCCCTCGGTTGGCTATTTCCTATCGTATAACATTTTATGACTGGCGGTTTTCTTGATTCGCCTTCGTTGGAGATTGGTGGAAAAGACAGACGCTGAATGAATACATGCGTGATGAATTATTCTTGTTTCATGAGCTGATAATTTACCCTCGGAATAAAGTAATTTAACCACATATTCAAGTGGAGGTAATCTGCCCCTCATATATTATTTACAGCACAAAACAAACATACGAATGATTGTGGAGGCTTTTGAGTGTTTAATCTCATCCCTAGGTGTTATCCAACGGAATCATAACGCGAAAAAAATCAATCGTAAACATTTTCGTAAAAAGTGGCTGGAAATTCGAACGGGGCATTAATAATGAAGGAATTCGAATTCAAAGAGCCAAATGCTGGCCTGACACGACTCATGTACTGGGAAAGAACGGGGTATTTTCAACATGCATACGTGCAAAACAACAATGATAGAAAATACGACGTTACATCACCCTTCTCAAATAACATCAGAAGCTAAACAATTAGCAACATGTATCCATCTAGCTAGCTTCCTGTGTGTTTGATGCACCGGAATCATTAACAGGAGTCTTGTCATTGGTTTCTTGCAAAATAGCACACGCGACAGCAGCCTCATTGTTTTCTGCACAATCATTCCCTTTAGGCTGAACATTTAATATATCTGAACCTGCCATCGACATATCAAAAATATTAGAGCCATCAACAGCAGTAGATTGGTCATCTAGGTTTCCATGGAAATTTAAGTTTGGGTCAAGCAGTAGGCTTCTCAAAACTGGATCGTCGGGGTCAATATGCAATAAGTCGGACTCTGGCAGTGCCGATGTATGGCCCCCGGTTAACTGCTGGCTTGATGAGATGGCGCGGTTGCCCTGTTCCTGACCCGCAGCAGCAGTACCCATAGACTCTACAGTCCTTGGAGAAATGCTAGTTTCAGCAGCCCAGTCCGCCCAGTTGCCGCCGGTTTCATAATCCGGTGGAACGAACGGGTAAAACGAGTCGGTTTGGGCGACAGAGTCTTCGTCTGAGTCAAAGATATCCAAAACAAGGCCTCCGATGGATTCAAAACTCCGCAGCCCTGGACTTTTCTGTAGTGCACTAATGTCATCTTTTAAAAGATTGTTGATCCGATAAGCGCGGGGGGTTAGCCTTGATCCCTCCTGGCC